AGAGAGAGGTGTGCCTCAAGGTTCCTCACTGGGTCCCCTTTTATTTTCTATTTTTATTAATGACCTTCCTCTTGCGTGCACAGACTGTGATATTCAACTCTACGCTGATGATACAGTTATTTATTCATCTAAATCTAATATTACTGATATTCAGTCCTCAATTCAACATGATTTTAATACTGTTCAATTATGGCTACAGTATAACAAACTTCTACTTAATAAATCTAAATCATGTTTCATTTGTTCCAGAAACGAATCCGTCCTTTTTCTGTTAATGATATAAATTTGACATTTACTGATTCATCACCAATTATAGCAGTTGATAAATTTAAATATCTTGGTTTATGGCTTGACCCGTCTTTCATTCAGCGCCCACATACAAACTATTACAAACAAAATTCCATATCGCTTAAAATTACTTTATCAGTCCATCAGTTGTTTTAGCTTTTCTGTTAGGAAAAAGATTATTTCACAACTAATTTTTCCCATTTTAGATTACTGCGATATCATTTATCAAAATACTACAACTTCTATTCTCCAACCACTCAACGTTATCTATAAGAGTCTGTGCAGATTCATTCTCCGCTGTCCCTTCAGAACTCACCACTGTACGATGTATCACCAACTGTCCTGGCTTAATCTGTCCTCCCGACGTCAACTTCACTGGTTATTATGTATTTTTAAATGTATTAATCTCATTTATCCTGAATATCTTAAACAGTATTTAATTCCATTCAGATCCTCTTATAGTTTACGTCATGCAGATCAGATATTTTTGGTTATCCCAAGAGTCAAAAAACAAATAGGAAAACACTCATTAAATATAAAGCTCCTTCTGATTAGAACAATCTTCCCTCATCGATTCGTGCTTTAACTTCTGTCCCTTTATTTAAAAATGCTCTGGTTCAATATTTACAGAACCCATGTAATTGTTTTTGATTACTTTGTTGAATTTTGTTGTTTATCTTGTTGTATCCTGTGATTATCTTTGAACTCTGTTTATTATTATTATTGTTATTACTATTATTTTATTATTTTATTTATTTATTTTTATTTTTTCTTTCAAATTTGTTTTATTATGTGTGAAACAGTCAAGCGTGAGTGAGTGTGTGTGTGTGTGTTTGTGGTTGTGTTGATTTTGCTGTTTTGATGCTTATTTGAACTTATGTCTCCTACTGTCTGCCCAACTGTATCTGTCTTTTGTTGTTGTATTTATTTATGAGGACCCCCTCGAAAACGAGATGGTGACACATCTCAAGGGGCTTATCCTCCAAACAAATAAATTCAAATTCAAATTCATTCTATTTTTAGAGTATATGTTTTGAAAATAATTTAGATGTATATTTTTTAATATTTTTGGATAATTAAAACCTCCTCCAGTGTGAGCAACCAATAAATATATAAGATTACTCACATCAGAGGTACCTGTTACTGATAACTCCAGAAATCAGACAATGATCAAGTTTTTGATGCGCATGTAAACACTGTGAGGTTGAATGGGCATGTCTACAAGTTCAACATTTCTGTTTAACCCACCTCTAGGCGTCGTATAATCTCTCTAAGTGGAAGAGAGTTTTCACCTCCTCCAATGAAAGTAGTGGTAGGAAGACGAAACACTTTGTCCAAATCAGATTCAGCCAGCCCATAAAAACCTGTTTAATTACCAAAATAATACATCAATTACACAGTATTACAAAAGAAAAATAAACACATAAACATGGAGGTTAACTGCTATGTTTGCCACATAGACCTCATAATAATTGGGATTAAGCCAGGGAATTTAAACAGGACTAGACTAGGACTAGAACATGACAACTGTGAACACAGCTACTAATACACTGAATAAACAGCAAAATACTTAATGTACTGCAGCTATACATAAACAGCCGCTATCTGAAGTTTGTAACACAAATCAAACATAGATAAACTAGAGCACAGAGGACTGAGATGTCACTTCTGTGCGTCAGCAAATTACACTGCGGTATGGACAGAGGCTATTCAGCCCAACAAGGCAGAGTCAGCTCTCTGTCACATAAAAAATCTTTAGACTTTAGACTCCCAACCTGTGTACTGCACCACATATAAAAGCACATTGTTGTTTTCTTTGATGATTCAGCATAAAGGTGTGATCCAGTGTAATAATCAATGGCAGTATCTGCTATCTAATCAGAGCAGAACTTCAAAAAAGATAAGTCTTGTTCGACCCCAGTGGCCAACAGGCAAAGGTTAGTTCCTCCAGGAATCACAAACACCTCAGATGTATACAGCAGGTAGACCATATTATATATAAATATTATTCAACTATATTCAACAATATTCAACAGAACATTCACTTAACTGCATCGTTTTCTTGCACAGCACTGAGAAAGAGCTACACATGCTTGCTACAACAATTTATACTTGGCAACTGATGACATCAACATTTCCTGGGGGATCGATGCCAACTAAAGACACTGCTTTGTCTGAGGCACTGTTAGCAAACCATCTTGAAACTTTTTTGACTCTGCTATTGTTTGTGTCGTCATGGTAACTGCTATAGATATATATGAAGAACCCAGGGTGATGTCACTGTTAAGTATCATCAATAGGGCTTCAACACTAGCCTGTTTAACCCTTTATAAGACACATCGTGACAGTAATGATAAAGATGATTCTGTGTGGTAAAATAATAGTATCACCTGCACTGTGGTTTTACTTTGCAGTGCAACTTGGTCACATCCATTATTAGGTGACACAGTTAAATGACACAGATTAAAAATAGCAGCATGCTCTAAATCAAAGTCATTGACACTAGTTTTTTACTTTCACCTTTAATTGCATTTCCAGTGCAGTCAGGCAAACCCTTTGTAATATTAACTGGAGTGATTTAAATTACGTTAAATTGATAACAATGCATAGTATAATATATTTGTTGTCTTGTTTTTGGGGTATTATGTTGTAAGTAGTGGTCCTTAGAACAGCCAAGATAATATAAAAGAAGTTAGACAAGGGCTAGTGTTGATAGGTGACTCTAACTCATAAAGCGTTTTTCCACTTCTACTCGGCACTCAAGAACTTTACATCAAAGAGCATTCACACCTTCATACACCTGTATACAATCTTTCGATGCAAGGCGGGTTAGGTGTCTTGCCCAAGGATACGACAAGCGAAAGTGCTGGTGGGAGTGGGGATCAAACTGTCAACCTTCAATTCAAGCGGTAAAAACTCCTACTGTATGCTCATAAGACATAAACAAATGTAATAAACGTAAAGGTATGACAGCTTAAGAGATGAAGCAGCATATACTATGCATTTCTTCTTACCAACATTTTGGAAACCCACAGCACATGGAGCATCGTCAAAGTCTACACAACTGATCCCCAGTGGGTCCAGTTTGGCTATGTGGTGACCTCGAACCTGAAAGCAAACATGAAAAATGTGGATCACAAAACCAGTCCTTTGTGAATACTGTGCAAAAACACAAATACCATATGTCACTTTGAAGCTTTTTACCTGATATGCTCGAATTAGTGTATGTACTGCAAGATGATCTGCAACAAGTTTCTTTGTATTGACCTGTGCCCCCAAAAGAGAAGGGGCACTTTCTGCTCCATGGGATATCCCATTAAGATGTGGAGGACTTTGGTAGGCTAGACCAGGAGGCACCCCTGCATTAGCATTACGGAAAAAGACATCCCAGGACTGCAGAGGGGAAGAGGGGTGAAGAGCATCACATTAAAGTAAAACAAGCTGGTCAGGTATTAAGATTTCTGTGCTGTGATTGAATAATCTGAAATTCCACTGGACAAATGTTCTACATATTTCCAAGATAAAATAATTACTGCATGTTTACATTTATTCTATGTCTGAGGTGGAATATTCGTTTTGAAAGAGAGAAAATATGGTAACTCACTTGGTGTGCTGCAATATTTACATATGCATAACCTTTAGCCTACATTTTGAATGTGTAGGTCTCCTGTTAGTTCACACAACCAGAAAGATACCAAAGAAAGACAAGCTGTACCTTGTGCACATTCTTTGGATTCTCCAGCCACGCATAGTACATCTCTTCCAGATAGTTTGAGCTTGTGGCATTGAGGAAAGGTTCAGCAGAAACAGATGTCGTTAGACGTCTCCAGAGCTCAAACGTCCTGAGAACAGGTCTGACCCGCAGGGGTCTGGGCTGGGAGATGCTCTGTACCGCGTGTGCAATGGGCCCAAGCCGAGCCATGGTCCTTAAGCGGTACATGAGAGTAGCTCAGCCGCTCCTCTCTCTCCAGAAACAAAAACACAGCTGATCCACACGTTTACCGCTGAATCAGAGCGTGGCCCCTCGCATCTCCCAGTGCAGTCTCTTTCGTAGTCCTCACTCAAGATACTGAAGAAACAAACGTTGGTTACTCCAATCACATATTCATAAGTTCAGCATTGGATAAAAATGTGTCCCACGTGATATTTATTAGATTAGAAAGAAGTCGCAAAATGCCCAGGCGGCTTTGGTTTAGTTTAGTTAAGTTTTACTTCTTAAAACTTTCCTTTCCGTTCATTGACTGCATGTGCTTCTGTACGCCTCTCTGCGCCAAACTGAAAGCAACTGTAGCCACACACCTGCCCTACAGGACAAAGCCCACTCTCCTTTAACCCTTAGGTAAACTTTAAATCCCTAACTAAGTGGTAACCACAGAACATTACCTTTGTGGTCTGGTCTTGTGTTCCCAGTTTAATCCAGCTTTCTTGTTGTGATCCGTCCTACGCCAAATGAGTTTTGGAGTTGCGCTCTAATCAGCGCGCACCATGGCGTCACGTGGACGGCAGGAACACAGAGCCATAGGTGGTCTTCGACAAGACTTAAAATCTCATTTAAATTTCTAATTACCCACTGCCTATTGCTAAGTTTGCAGGCGTTTACAAGAAAAAATGCCGTTGATAATGGAAATGTATTGGCATAATGGTCTTTTTATTTAAAAAAAAAAAAAAAAAGCATTTATTTAGGCCTACTTGTGTAAAACCTTATTCCCGGTAAGAGGACATCTTCGGATCTTATTGGATCCCTGTTGTGTTCAGATGTATAGGTTGTATAGCTAAAAATGAAAGTAGGCTACAATCTGTCTGATAATATTACACTAATGTGGCACACACCTTAATTGTTCAAAAAAACAAAACAAAAAACGCTTTATTACATTTTAATCCCAAGTGTCCATTGAAAACGATTTTCTATGCTCTTGGCTCAATAACTGCATAAGTGCTCGTTTTGCAGGACCTTTAAGTTAATACTTCAAGAACAGCCACTATCAACACTACTGGCGCCCTTGGCAAGAGGAGGCTTCAGAGTCCTGTGCCAGGAAGATTTGACCAGTTTAAAATGTTTACTGTGCATATATACTTTAGAGGAAACTTTGCTTATTATAACAACTGAACATTTTCTGAGAGTGCTGGTGAATACAGTCACGTCCATTAAGGCCATCTTTAGCTGGGGTCTTAGGCATTTGGCTTGTTTGCAAACCCCATTGTGGTGGCTTTGGTTAAGAATAATGAAGCTGACCAGTGGTGAGTGGTAAATGTGGACAGGAAGAACAGTGGTTAGCATTGTACACTTGTGTCCAATGCAATTTTGGGGAAAGCTAATAAACAATCCGAGTCAGCGTTTCAGAAGCTTCACAGCTCTAACATTATATTTCTCACGTTACTGACGTTTTGACTTATTTATTGCCTATACAGTCTGGTATTAGTGCGCACCACCAGTGTAATGCATTTTGATTAAAATGTACGTTGTTCTTATATACTAGTATTTATCAACACGTAATTGTGCATATGAAAGCGATAAAAATACAATGAAAAATTTGTATTTAGTAAAGTTTCACATTTTGTCCTAAATATTAGTCAGAAAGGTAAATATTTTGTATTCTCTTTACTCTCTACATTTTTATAACATTCAATTGATTGAGTAAACAAATCAAATATAATTTATGATAATATCCTGTTATAAACCACTTCATTTTATGCAATTACAGAGCCCAGTGCACCAAAGTATTCCTTTACACTTCAGCAGTTAAGTTAACAAAAATAGAAAAACAAAACACAGAGAAACATCCAAATGGTCAGTGTATCAACATGAAATGTCATGCGATTAAATTCAGCATATTGGAGAGAGATCACCACAATAAAACTGTAAATTTACACAACGGTGTTATTACTTGTTACCTACAGTTACATTAATTTCAGTAATTACTTGCAAAGTTCAGGATGTTATTAGCTCATGTAGTGTATTAGCATGCTGCATGTTTTCACTGCATTTGTGAGTCCATGGGACGCTGCACTACACAAAATCTGTTCTGGGTCAAACACACACAAGGGAAAGCATAAAAACAGAACTCGTTACACCAACTGGTCTCTGAGACTTTAGTACCGAATGTTCATTGTCCACAGGCAAGTCGTGCATAATAGCCACTGCTCATACAGAAGAATCATGCTTGTTATAAAAAGATAGCAAAATGAAAGAGAATGACTATTAATATACTGTACAATAGAAATAGTACAACAACAGACCAAATCCAGTACGAAGTTTAACCAAGACTGTAGTGGAAGATAAAGGAGGTTTACGCCCAGGTATGTTGGGCCACTGTGGGATTACTTTAAAAGTCCACCAAGTTTACAAGCCATTGGCAGGAGGTTTGACGATAGTGTTGTTTTCTTGTTTTAGTCCAGTGATGTTACTCAGAGAGAAGAGAGAGCTGGTGTACAGAGGACAGAACAGTCTGCACCCAGCTGATCCTCTCTCTGTCATAACATGCTTATCTTTCCATAGGTTTTCTTTGTTTCCACACAGCACCAATTCATCCTCCTAAAAGCAGAAAGTAGTTGCATGTAGCTGAAAACACCAAAAGCTAATTTGCTTTCTGTGCAATTTATCATGATTAAAACTTTATCAATAATTTAAAACTGTATCAATCAGTTTAAACAACCAATTTAAACAAAGACTGTTTACTTTGTTTTTACATTTACTTTTCATTAAGTCAGTAAACATGCAAAAACAATATTTTGCCATGAAAAACATTTCCATAAATTCACACCCAAATGTCAGCAAAAAAGTTTTAATGGATTAAAATTTTACTGTAATTTAAAATAAAAATTGTTGTTTAATGTCATCACATCAAATCCGTATGTTTTCATGTACATACCTTACCCCTGCATTGGGGCAGCAGGAGCCCCTGAACAGTGGAAGTGGACATTTTGCCACCGGCTGTCCCTGCGGTGCCATACTCGAGTCTCCTCTGATTGGCTGGACCGGGGGCGGCCCTGCCCATCCACAAACTGTGTTAGGCGAATGTAAGCAATGCAGGCAGCGTCATCACCGATGATGTGCACGTGAGGGTTGAGGATGGTGGTGTGAATGGGCTTGTTGTTTTTTGAGAGGACTATGACGGAAAACATAACATGGGCATTATATAAAAAATTAAATTTTCATCAAATAAATGACAATAAAAAACGTACGGTTGTCAAAATAAAATCTGTGAAAGTCCATTCCTTCCACAAGATTGCCCAAACCCTCAGGCTCAAATGAGGTGAGGCCAGGGTCACAAATCTTCCTGTGAATACAAGAAACATGGAATCCTAACATTAAATGTGGACAATATGGATGGAATTAATGGAAGCTGAAACGTCTAAACCAAAGGAACTTGTCCGTTGAAACCCTGTTACAATGAAACACATCTGGATAACTGAGTGATTACTTCTACATTATATGTAATCATTTAAAATTTATCATGAAATCAGAAGTGCTGTGTACATAATGATGTCTGAAATACTATCTTTGATGTTGTTAACAATGTTCACAACATTGTGCCCCTCCCTTACTCAATCTGTTAAGCATTTGTCTAAAGTGTGTGGTATTAAGAGGATAAAATAAGTAATTACTCTTTAATCTTTTAATACAACGATGAAACACATTTATATGGCAGTCAGATTAATGTTTTTTCCAGGTCGATAGCTTTAATGGTTACTTCATACACAAGATCTGCTAAAAATGGCACAAGAAGAAAACATATGAAAAACTCACGCATAGGCCTCGAAGTCTCCATTGTTGACAGCTTCAATAAGCTGCTCTGTGATCTTTATGATTTCCTGTTTGCGAGCTGCAGAAAAATTAGAATGCAGTGACACTGTTCCATCTCATCACATTAAAGGGGTACATGCACAAAAGAGCAAAATAATGTCACTGAAATTAATGGCATGAAATGTTCCAAGATATTAATACAAATGCTGGGGGCTTCCAACTCACCAAAAGCAGTGTAAATATTATCTGCCCTGTCCCTTAACTGTGTCATCTTGAATAAAGTTTACACTACGCTTCAGCACACACATTAAACTACTTCCTTATATTAAGTTTCCTTTCCCTCTGAAAACATACATATAGTAATCCTTACTATATTTACAATAAAAACAGTTGCCATGTCTCCTCTCACCTCCATCCATCTTTCTTCACTGCTTCATTTTGCATGCCAGGCTGCTGTAGCTCATCACTCTATCCTTGTCCCAGCTCAGGATGAGATTTAGCGTGTCCTAGTCGGCTGCTTCCTCCTGACTCTGAGAGGACGGCTTAGTGCTCCCCCATGTCTCCCTTGTGCTCTCCCTGTCCTCTCTCTCTCTATCTTTCTCTCTCTTTCCTCTCTCTCTATTTCTGTTGCTTATTTCCCTACATCTCTCCTTCTCCATTAGAAACCACTCCTAGCTATATGCATATTGTTAATTTGATTTACAAATAAGCAGTCACAAGTCTCATACAGATAGATCTTTATACAAGTAAGTTTTATATAATTTTCAAATTTTGCAACTTTAATATATTACTTGGTTTTGGTCACTGTCCCATATTTGTTTGTTTTTTTTGTTTTGTTTTGTTTGTTTTAGTTTGACCTATAATGCAAAGACTTCAGATGATGCATCATTGCGAGAACTTGAATCATTTTTAGAAACCATCTGCCATTATGAAATCAAAAGCATACATTATTTAGATGTTTCAGAATGTGTATAAATTATGAATACTAAAACATCATCCTTAAGTGAAGCTAACCATAAACCCACAAAATAAATTCATTAGACCTCTTTTCACCTCTTAGTGAAATAAACATTGAGATATGTCTTTCTTACAATGTTAGTTAAATAATCATGCTCATGTTAAATTAACATTTTCACTCGTATACTCTTATTATGATCAACATTGTCAACAAGGTAAATATATCAGTAAACATTTCAGTAATGCTAAATTTATTTATTGCAAATGTATTTTAAATGCATTTATCTGATTTTATAGATTCTGCTCACTATGTGCTTACGAAACATCATTTCTCATAAAAACACATTCATACAGTAAGTGACTGGCACAAGGACCTGGGGGAAGTAAACATGGTCAGAGCAGGGTTCAAGTCACCATCCTTTGTGTTTCTCATCATGATAACTGGTTTGACAATTGCCTGCATAAATAAACCAAAAAACAGGCAGAGCTTAATCTTACCTTTCACGTCCTCATCCTCTATGGTTGTGTTACTGCTGTCTGATGATTCCTGCAAACAAATATGTGGACATCAAAATAATTTTGATAATTTCTGAAGAAAACAGTCACAAAATAAGGCATGCACACACTTTACCTTTTGAACCTTTTATACAAAACTTAACACCACACTTTGGTCAGACTCAGTGACAGCTAATCTGTGAGTGACTCAGCAGCTACACAGAGGCACAATGCATGACCATTTTCCAGCTAGGATGGTCAGTGTGGTAGAACACAAAACATTTAACCACTGTTTCAACAGTTCAGCAGTGGTTAAGAGCTATATAAGGCAAAGTCTTGGATTGTTTAAGCTTTATCGCTGAGCCTCCCATACACATAGGGGCACTATAATACTGTACTGGAGTGGCAGCATCTCACTTTGGATACCATCATGCACACAAAAAAAACAGCACAACAATATACTCAACAAAATACACCTGAAAAGAAAGTTTTAGCAACAAGATTAGAGGCGGGAAAATGGAAGAAATTGAAAGAGTGAGTAGGATGTACCTTGATCCCATCTACTGGGTTATGAATAACAGTAGTCTGAGGCTCCTGGATAATAATGAGAAGTAAAGACAAGAGAGGTGGATATGAATGAGAGCTGCTGACATGGGCATAACCGGGATTATAGTAAAATTGTAAATGTAACACAACATATGCAAGGAACATGGAAAATGTAACAATGAAAGAATACATCTGAAAAGATGAGTACTGCATATAATAGATGAGGGCGACTGAGGTCTCAGGTGATCTTTTTTTTTCCACTTAACCCTATAAAAATAGTATAAAATCTGTGTAGGTTCTTTAAAGCAGTATCTGTTAGTATAAAAAAGATCAGATACATTACAGTAAATGAAGTTGGCAACGGAGATAAAGCATAAACACCAGTATGTGCTTGGTGGGATTCCAGTCAGTAATATTGAGGAATTTTCTGACATGGATGTCAATTACAATATCAAATCTTCAGCATGGCCCATAACATAACCTTAAAAGTGTATTAGCGTTTTTTTTTTTTAATGACACACCTGGGGACAAATTCAGAATGAAGCATGGGCACAAAGAGAGAAAAAAATGACCCACAATTGTATCCATAATCAGGCTGATAATGAAATAAAACCTCCAAATATAAACCCCAGCCACTATCTATATTAACACTATATATATCCATAGGCAACAGTAAAACCACCACAGCAAATTCACCTGCATTGTATAGTATTCACACCCATATCATATGTCAGTTTGGCTTTGCATAAATTTCTGATTTTATTTGCATGATATTTTCAATGCATGTTCCTTCTTCACACTCTACCCTGATGTGTGATTTTATGGACAGAGACAAACAGACACACAGCTGCATACCAGTGCAGCTGACGGGACGTTGCCTTTGGGACTGGTGACTATGCTGTTTCTGGTGCTGTTAGTCTGGGGCTGTGCAGAAAACACAAAGTGCTCTAATTAGTGCTCAGTAATAACAATTAAAAGTGTGGATTCAAAGTGTGATCATTGTAAATGGGAGGTGTAAAAGAAATATATTCACTGTAGAGGATTTTCAATTTCAGAGCAAATTGCAAATTACATTATATTTCACACAAATATGATTCAGCAATGTATAGGTCAGCCAGTGACACATCCTCCACATTTATGAAACAGATGTCAAATTTATGATTGATTGATGATGAGTGTACCAACAAGGCCAGTTACGTCGCCCGGATTGGCATCACCGGGGCCTCACCCTGGAGCCAGGCCTGGGGTGGGTGCTCGCCAGCGAGCGCCTGGTGGCCGAGCCTCCCCCCACGGGGCTCGGCCGGGCTCAGCCCGAAGGAGCGACGTGGGGCCGTCCTCACGTGGGCCCACCACCCGCAGGAGGATCCATATGGGGCCGGTGCAGAGAGATCTGGGCAGCAGTCGACGGCGGGGGCCTCGGCGACCGGATCTCCGGACATGGAGACTAGCTCTGGGGACATGGAATGTCACCTCGCTGGGGGGGAAGGAGCCTGAGCTTGTGCGGGAGGTTGAGCGTTACCGACTAGATATAGTCGGCCTCACCTCCACGCACAGTTTGGGCTCTGGAACCCAACTCCTTGAGAGGGGCTGGACTCTCCATTTCTCTGGCGTTGGCCGCGGGGAGCGGCGGCGGGCTGGTGTGGGCCTGCTCATTGCCCCACAGCTCAGTCGCTGTGTGTTGGAGTTCACCCCGGTGAACGAGAGGGTCGCGTCCCTGCACCTTCGGGTCGGGGACAGGTCTCTCACTGTGGTGTCGGCCTACGGGCCGAACAGCAGTGCAGAGTACCCGGCCTTCTTGGAGTCCTTGGGAGGGGTACTAGACAGTGCACCGACCGGAGACTCCGTTGTTCTCCTGGGGGACTTCAACGCCCACGTGGGCAACGACAGTGACACTTGGAGAGGGGTGATTGGGAGGAACGGCCTCCCCGATCTGGTGTTTTGTTATTGGACTTCTGTGCTAGTCACAGTTTGTCCATAACGAACACCATGTTCGAGCACAAGGGTGCCCATAAGTGCACGTGGCACCAGGACACCCTAGGCCGGAGGTCGATGATCGACTTTGTCGTCGTGTCATCTGATCTCCGGCCGCGTATCTTGGACACTCGGGTGAAGAGAGGGGCTGAGCTGTCAACTGATCACCACCTGGTTGTGAGTTGGGTTCGCTGGCGGAGGAGGAAGCTGGAAAGACCTGGCAGGCTCAAGCGTGTAGTGAGGGTCTGTTGGGAACGTCTGGCAGAGCCCTCTGTCAGAGGGACCTTCAACTCGCACCTCCGGGAGGACTTCTCCCGGATTCCGGGGGAGGCCGGAGATATGGAGTCCGAGTGGGCTTCATTCTCGGCCTCTATTGTCAATGCGGCTGCTCGGAGCTGTGGGCGTAAGGTCTGTGGTGCCTGTCGCGGCGGCAACCCCAGAACCCGGTGGTGGACACCGGAAGTAAGGGATGCTGTCAAGCTGAAGAAGGAGTCCTATCGGGCCTTGCTGGCTCGGAGGACTCCTGAGGCAGCTGACGGGTACCGGCGGGCCAAGCGTGCTGCAGCCCGTGTGGTTGCGGAGGCAAAAACTCGGAGCTGGGAGGAGTTCGGGGAGGCCATGGAGAAGGACTATCAGACGGCCTCAAAAAGATTCTGGCAAACCGTCCGGCGCCTCAGGAGGGGAAAGCAGTTCTTCACCAACACTGTTTACAGTGCGGGGGGAGAGCTGCTGACCTCGACTGGGGACGTTGTCCGGCGGTGGAAGGAATACTTTGAGGATCTCCTCAATCCCACCGTCACGTCCTCCGAGGAAGAGGCCGAGGCTGGGGACTCGGAGGCGGACTCATCCATCACCCTGGCCGAAGTCACTGAGGTGGTTGGCAAGCTCCTTGGTGGCAAGGCTCCGGGTTTGGATGAGATCCGTCCTGAGTACCTGAAGTCTCTGGATGTTGTGGGGCTGTCTTGGCTGACACGCCTCTTCAACATCGCGTGGCGGTCGGGGACAGTACCTCTGGACTGGCAAACCGGGGTGGTGGTCCCTCTGTATAAGAAGGGGGACCGGAGGGTGTGTTCCAACTATAGGGGGATCACACTTCTCAGCCTTCCCGGTAAGGTCTATGCCAGGGTACTGGAGAGGAGAATCCGGCCGATAGTCGAACCTCGGATTCAGGAGGAGCAGTGTGGTTTTCCTGGCCGTGGAACACTGGACCAGCTCTACACTCTCCATAGGGTGCTCGAGGGTTCATGGGAGTTTGCCCAACCAGTCCACATGTGTTCCACATGTGTTTTGTGGATCTGGAGAAGGCATTCGACCGTGTCCCTCGTGGTGTTCTGTGGGGGGTGCTCTGGGAGTATGGGGTCCGGGGCCCTTTGCTAAGGGCTTTCCGGTCCCTGTATGACCGGAGCAGGAGCTGTGTTCGCATTGCCGGCAGTAAGTCAGACCTGTTCCCGGTGCATGTTGGACTCCGCCAGGGCTGCCCTTTGTCACCGGTTCTGTTCATTGTGTTTATGGACAGAATTTCTAGGCGCAGTCAGGGGCCGGAGGGGGTCCGGTTTGGGGACCACAGGATTTCATCTCTGCTGTCTGCGGACGATGTTGTCCTGTTGGCTTCATCGAGCCAGGACCTGCAGTGTGCACTGGGGCGGTTTGCAGCCGAGTGTGAAGCGGCTGGGATGAAGATCAGCTCTTCCAAGTCCGAGGCCATGGTTCTCGACCGGAAAAAGGTGGCTTGCCCTCTCCGGGTGGGTGGGGAGTCTTTGCCTCAAGTGGAGGAGTTCAAGTATCTCGGGGTCTTGTTCACGAGTGAGGGAAGGACGGAACGGGAGATTGACAGGCGGATCGGTGCAGCTTCGGCAGTGATGCGGTCGCTGTATCGGACCGTTGTGGTGAAGAGGGAGCTGAGTCGAAAGGCGAAGCTCTCGATTTACCGGTCAGTCTTCGTTCCTACTCTCACCTATGGTCATGAGCTCTGGGTAGTGACCGAAAGGACGAGATCACGGATACAAGCGCTCGAAATGAGTTTCCTCCGCAGGGTGGCTGGGCGCTCCCTTAGAGAGAGGGTGAGGAGCTCAGTCACACGGGAGGAGCTCGGAGTAGAGCCGCTGCTCCTCCACGTCGAGAGGAGCCAGTTGAGGTGGCTCGGGCATCTGTTCCGGATGCCTCCTGGGCGCCTCCCTCGGGAGGTGTTCCGGGCATGTCCCGCCGGGAGGAGGCCCCGGGGAAGACCCAGGACACGCTGGAGGGACTATGTCTCTCGGCTGGCCTGGGAACGCCTCGGGGTCCCCCCCGGTGGAGCTGGAGGACGTGTCTGGGGTGAAGGAAATCTGGGAGTCCCTGCTTAGGCTGCTGCCCCCGCGACCCGGCCCCGGATAAGCGGACGAAAATGGATGGATGGATGTCAAATTTAAATTGTGTACATCCACTGACAATAATACTACATCACAAACAGATTATAGGAACAGCCAACATGCCTACATACAGTCAACGTGAACACTGTATTTAATAAAAGAGCACACACAGCCAAATACTGCAAGGACCTTGGATCTTGTATATAATTTGATGTGGCTACATTGTTGTGGACACAGAAATACAGTATTTCCTTTCAACTGTGGGCAATGAACTCACAGACATACTGTGCTTTTTCATATATAAATAGTGTAAATTAATAATTATAAACAAACAAACATTTTACTATTATACAAAGCCATTGGCCAGATTTTGGATTTAAAGAGGTGTTCTGAGGAAGCAGAGAGAATTGGGTGCACCAAAGGAGAAAAAGTGATTATGTAAAAACAGATTAATCATCTGTTGGAAAATAATCTGAGATTAGCATCAGAGCACCAAAAGCAATCCTGTGTCCAAATGAGAGTATGCTTGAATCTGAATGTTTAGTTCCTTTCATGAAGAGTTGAACAATTATTTAGATTTAAAGTAGTCAAAAAACTGCTTACAAACATCACATTTAGGACAATGCAGTTATCTGGTGACCTTGGGTTTCATTCAGACATGTTATATAGCACATATATTTAGGATGAGTTCTTCTCTTAAATAGAAAGCACTCTGTTTCAACCTGTGATGCCATGTGGTAATACAGGAAGTGCTCCACTGTGTTTCTAAACTCCATACAGCTTTACTAGAATCATTTGGATCACTTCAACTCAAATGTAAAAAGTCGCAGTTAACTTATAAACTACCACTACATGACAACATGGTGGAACAGAGCAAAATACAACAACAATATGTATGTTTTTGAGGAGGTAATATAATTTTAACTTGGCTTAAAGATCACAATTGTCAATTTTGTGTAATATAGGAACATTAAGTAATAAAGTGCCTTACTATTACAAAGCTTTAGAAGAGCAGAAAACATAAATTAAATATCATCATTAAAAGTAATTGCTGCTAAAAGCTCCAATAACTGCAACTGCAACAACAGTGCTTAACTGTACGACATTATGCATTAACTGATAAACATACATGCAGGTTGTGATTACATGCATAGAGCAGGACCGAAATAAATAAATCAAAACCCGCAAAGAAGAAATAAGAAGGATAAGAAGCAAGTAAAAACACTCTGGATCTTAAAACTCACCTTGACATCAGCCTTTTTATTGAGGAGACTCTTGGCTGCTGCAGAGAGGCAAAATGACACACCCTCAGATGGCAGAGTACACATTATACCAGGTCAGATAATCACACGTTTCTACACCTTGGAGGATTTCATGGATCTATATAAGTTACCATGTTTGCCTCTTAAGGCAATAAGCAAATGTATCTACCTCACACAAAAACCCTACCAACAACACTGAAGAAAACAGATAAATCAACTGGCAACTAACTCTGCATTACATAAGCAGAGGGCATCAGCAATGAGGCAAAAGTCATGATTTACCATTTAATCCCAATACTCTCCCAGGGACACATGCACTGATAGAGCAGGATTAGGGGCAAATGCAGCAGGAAATGGAGAGGCAGGTATATGATAATGAGGCTGTTAATTTCTAGAGCAGGTTGGATTTGATCAAATCACCACCACTAAATTTATTCATGGTTTAAAACTGTAAACACCTCCACCAGATTCAGCTAAAAAAATAACTCTAACTTTAGTAATGGAATAGACTTCTTGCTTTACTTTCAAGATCTTTTCATTTTAAAAGGCACTCTGCACATTTATACCTTTTACTCCCTTGCGCATGGCTTACTATAGAAACAAAATTGTGTCATAATTCCTCTGAGGTGAGAGAACACATCAGATAACAAAAGGAAAAGCCAAAGACATCTGATGGTTAAATCCGCTGTGCTTCAGATGAGAGAAGATCTTACCTTGGCGAAGGTTTCCGTAGCATCAGAAAAAGATTTGGAAAGACAAATTAAAAACAAGATCAGACATTGCAAGCGAAATGTTAATAGTATTTTTTTTTTTTTTAAACAATGTTATAACAATGGCATAATGAAGGAGTAGCACACAGTTGGTACCCGACCCCACCAAAACCAAAAATCAAGTAAAAATCAGAGACACTACTAAAAAGTATTTACAGTAGATATGATTACCTTGTTCAACAATGCCAGCAGTGGTCCCAGCAACTGCACTGACAGCAGCAGGGGCTGTAGTCTGACGTCCCACTTAAAAACAGAAGTACAACAGTTGTGACTTTGCCTTTTGATTTAATGTAGCCATACATGTAACAAGGCTTATTGACTTCAATGCATTCTGTACGAAAGATGACCAAGGACATTCTTTCTATATTTTGTTAGATGGTAAATTTGCATTACTTCTTTCTACATGTAATATATTACATAAGTGTATCTGAAACAGATTCCCTGTCCTCCAGAGAGCTGCACTCACCAGAGAAGTTTCTGGAGACTAGCATAGTGGTCAAAATTGCCCCCTTCACAAAAAAGCAGAGGAGAGCAGATTTTAAATGGTGACCTAAACAATGACCATTAAAATAACACCTCTTTAAACCTTGAGTTTCCTTCTGGCATTAAACTTTTTGAGACACTCGACTGTCTCCTGTCTGTGCATCATAGAGGCCACTGTTGAGCGTTGCTGAAAGTAGAAAAAGAAAAGGAACTAAAAATATGGCATTAGGAACAGAGATATGTGCGCAGTGTGTGAGCAAGAATTGAGTGCACATATATAGCACAGGAGATGACAATGTGTTTGGCAGACATCCTTGAGTTGGATTAACACAACTTTCATATGTATGCGTATATATTTTATATATGTAATCTATATATTTATTCTTTCAGACTAGGACAAGCATGTCTGGGTTAATAAAACAGAAACTCTTGAGCTATGGTTTTGGATCAGACAGCTGAGGACATTTAAATTTGCTTACCCTGTTACTAAAGATCTATTTCTTCTATATTCTGTAGAAGTAAAATTGTTTAATGCTATGTGTAATAGTAGTGTAGTAGTGTAATTTGAAGCAGTTGTTTATAATCATATAAACACTTCTATACACTTACGCAGACCCATGGGTGCTTTAGGGCCTCCTGCGCAGTGATTCTCTTGGCTGGGTTGATAGTCAGCATCTGGTTGATCAGATTTTTAGCTTCTGGTGTCACTGTGTCCCATTCTGGGGAAGGAAACTGCACACACATAGTTATAAACATTTGGCTGTTAATTTCACTCAAAGACTTAAATAGGTTTAACAAAGTGAGTCATATGTAAGCAGCAGCCTTACATCGTAGGCTCCTGCTTTGATTTGCTGGTAGAGTTTGTGTTGATCTTCATCCCAAAATGGAGGGTATCCAACCAAAAGAATATAAAGAATCACACCTACTCAGAACAAAATATATTAAATTGGTGATGATAAAGTGGCGGAGGCATCTGTTTACATTCCAGAAATAAAATAAGGACAAATCCTTACCACATGCCCAAATGTCTACGGGTTTACCATAGGCCTCTTTCCTCAGCACTTCAGGGGACAAGTAACCAGGAGTCCCTGCAAAACCTACACAATTGTGCTTTTCTGTAAGTAGGAAATGTTTATTTTGAAATGCTCATCTTCACATTTCTGCAAATCACATGTTTCTAGTTATACATTGGGCAATATCAGCTAAAATGAGCTTCAGATAACCAGTGTTCAAGAGTCTCAATATTCTCCTGTCTTTCTCAGAAAAAATTATTATATATGACATATTATGAGCATACCAAACCATGCCTGTTGGTCTCCTTGGACTTCAATTGCGAGGCCAAAATCTGCAAGTTTCACTGCAGCATTCTTACACTTGCTCGCCAGGAGGAGGTTTTCAGGCTGAGGAACAAAAGAATGCAAACAAATTTGAGTCCATATACCACTGACTCAACCCATTCAAGTGACCAAATATTTGATTTAACGAGTCGTGGAAGTTTTTATAACTTAATAACTGAATAATGTACGTGTATAACAAGTTGAATGCAGTGCGTGTAATAAAATGTGCCGTAATTTATTGCCCTCTGCTGGCTCCGCAGAATAGTGCAAAGCAGGCAATTATCACTGCAAATATTTTAGAAATAACTAATCCATTGTGGACAGTTTAAGCTGCTGAAAGGTTAAATACTGCTAATTCATCACTATTACACCAAGTATTGGTTTAAGAATGCATCAAATTATAAATTATATTCTGTCAATTAAAAAGGAACAGGAGAAATTTGATATTTTAAACATAAGCTGCACATTACTCACAAGTCTATAACATTATTTTACAATTAGAATTAACAATCAGTCCACTGCACTGCACACTTCTAGTCTGGTAATATTTGACATTATTAGTTCCATAGAAATAAAACTTTTCAGTTTGAAAGTAGTTCAAGTTTATTAAAGGCATGCACAGACATAGGGCTAATGAAACCACAGCAAGCACTCATGCATACTATTATTTACTTCCAGCTCCATGCACAAACATGTGGTTGAAATACTGTTCATTGGACTTACCAACTGTCAGAAGCAAGTACAATAGTCAGACCTAAACACACACATACCAACCACATGACTGCACCAAACACTCTCTTTGGGGGAAACTTACCTTCAGATCTCTGTGTACAACACCCATCTGATGGCAGTGGAGCACAGCTTCCAGGATCTGCTGGATGCAATGACTGCATGCAAACAGTAGGGGGAGCAGGTTAGTCTGAACAACATTCAGCCCCCAACTGTCACATCCATGCAGAGGCAGCAGTGTCTCAATATATGCCTCACATTCACACTGCACATATTTTCCGCAGTCACTAATGTATCCAGCACTCACTCCATACAGTCAGCCCAGTCAGACCTCTCCAATATAAAAGCAAAGGAAGAAGGAACCTTAAAACTTCTGTTTTTGGAAACGTTAGTCAGACAGGCAGCGTAGGAGTACTGCAACTTCATGTAGGAGACACTGTGCCTAACCTATGCTCTGTGTTTGTGTAATTTATTCATCAGAGCTGTTAATGCATGTAACACATTTTTATGTTTTGTTTTCATTCTATAAAATGTACCACACTCTCTCCTATGCACACTTACAGCTCAAAGGAGATTGTCATTTTATGGGAATTATTATTCTATTCTGGACCCTGTAATGAGTGCATAAACAGTCCCCAAAGCAACATCTAAAAAACAGGCATGTGCAGACAGAGACAGACAGCAGGCACAGGCAAGGAAACAGGCAGGAGCACAGAGCAGGACACAGGGGTGAAGAGTGCACAGCAGTGCGAGAATGAGGTACACACACCTTAAGGTCCCTGTGCACTATGTCATGTTGGTGTGTGTAAGACACACTGTCTAGAATCTGATGGATACAGTGACTGCAGAGACACAACAGTACGCATCAGGAGGGATGAGGACAGGAAGCAACAGGACACACTGAGAGGGGCTTGGAAGGGGAGTCAACACTTAGAATGACTTTACAAAATCTATTAGATTGTTATTTTACATTGATCAACTAGACAACCTAGAGAAAAACCATCAGAAATTTCTTGATAAAGTCTATGAAAAAATTAATTAAAGTGGGACACACAATTCATTATTTATTCATCACACTGATTGTCACTGTTTGAACCAAAATAAAAGTTTGGAAAATATGTAATTTTACAGTTAGTAATTATTTTCTAATGTTCTATTTATTTTTGCTCAATCTAAAGCAAAATATTAAAATGCATTTGTATAAAGGAGTGAGAAGTGAAGGATGGATCCTGAGTGCAGATGGAGGATGCATAAAAAACGTCAGTGAGACACGGCTGGACATATATCACGCTGTGCTGTCACGCACCCACACAGAAGCACATACAGAGACACACACAAACACACAGAGTCACACAGGAACATGCACAAAAGCACACACAGACACACACAGAGATGCACACATAAACACAGAGACACACACACAGACAAACACATAGCGACACACGCAGGAACACGCACACACATACACACACACACACACAGAGAGACATACACAGGAACACACACATGAACACACACAGTGGCACACCTATAAACACATGACATGAGAAATAGAAGAGAAAGCTGAGAATGGAACAACAAATGTAAATAATGACTTTAATGACAAAAGGAAAAGAAGTAATCACAAAAAAAAAACATTTTAATGGCACCTTTAGATTGTCTTGTAGTATAACATAGAGACATATAATTTAAGTGCATTATCCTAACAGAGTACCAGAGAAAGACATAAAATATCTCAAAATTTCCCTGCAGTTTTCTGGCTAACAGCACTTAAATAGTTAGACCACCTCATGTAACTTGATGAAATTAATGTCACATTTGACTTTAACTGAGGCTGTTTTCTTTTAAAACACCTGTCCCCTTATCTGTTCTTAGCCTTCATAAACTGCCCACACAGAAATTGATTTATGTCTTTCTTGTGTGGGTGTATGTGATCTTCTGTTTCCATCTGTCTCTAATCTTGCAATCAGGGGAACTGAAGTCGACCTTGATTGTGATTCAGTTCACAGAGCAAAAGCTACATTGAGGTATTTTCCCTCAGTCTTGTGTATGTGCCAGCTCTATGTGTGATTGTTGTGAGATACACATTTTCCTCTCAGCCGACTGCAGAAGGTTGATGACGAGCACGTGATGTGGGATTCACTGGATGTTTACCTGGCATCTGCTTCACTGTAGTACTCTCTAGCAACAATATCTTCGAACAGCTCTCCTCCTGTCACCCTGCGGACCGCAAAGGTGGATGTTAAAAGGGCAAACCGTGTTCAGAACACATTGTCTTTGAGAGGCAGCACACACACAGGCAGGAGGGGGATGTCCTCATTAGGGGGAAACCCCGACTGCAGGATTCACTCTGACTGGGTTGCCATGGAGACTGGCTTCGGTGCGGGGGAGTGAGTGGTGTGTGCATTAAAGATGGAGCCGCAATGAGGAGGTAAAGAGAGGGGGGCAAAGGGGGCTGTTATGTAATGGGGGAACTATCTACAAGTGCAAAGCAATGGAAGACCAAATGAGTAGAGAAAAAGAAAGAGGATGAAGAAGGAAGCAATGTAAAGGAGAGAGATGACGGGGGATGGAGGAGACAAAGAGATAAAGAGAGAAATATCAGGCTCAGACTGGGAGATGGGAGATACATGATTCAGAATTAGCCTGGTGAGGAAGTCCTTTATCCTATCCCGTTCAAATGCAAAAAGGATTACCATCAGGTGTACATTTCTCAGACAAGTTTTTTGCAGATTCCAACTATAGTCACTAATTTGTATCACATGTCTCTATAAGAAGGAGACATTTCCTGCTCTCTCTAATATCCTTATGTCATTCAAAATAAAATCTATAACATCTCTTAATCTAACAAAGATTATAACTTTGTATGCTGATTCAGTATTGTTTTTCCTTTCTTTTTACTTTGAAGATGCTAATTTTGTTTTGATACAAATGGACCGTGCATTTCCCCACCTGTCATTCATGCTCATCAAAACCCCAGGCGAGAAGGCCTGATTCCAGGCTAGATATCTTTGTAAAGTATTGGAAAAGCATGTAGATTTAGCTGGCCTAGCATATTCAAAATAAGTGAAGACAGGGGAAATCTAAAGAAATAAGAAGAGCTGATAAAGCAACTCACAGGTCAAAGAGGAGATAGTGGAAACCCTCCTCTGAGATACTGTCATGGAGGCGAACTGAGCAAAAGCAAGAAAACAGATAATAGATATGTAAGAGAAAATATTACACTGTGTGTGTTGACTTCTCCTTGTGTTAATGTAACAACATTTCTTCCATTAAAGCGATCTTCCTCACTGGTGTGCACCAAATGAATCTGGAACTTCAGGCAGACCCCAACATTTTAACATTAACTGATCTGTTCCTGCAAAAGTATTAAAGGCAACCATCATGACTAGGAGCATTTCATGTATTTATGAATGGATATATTGTGGGAACCAACACTTATTTTACATAATATGTGAAAATCTTGAGTAGGTCATGCATCCTGTTACAGATGCTCTTCCACGGTGCCACTAATAAGCTGTTTACTTCACTGCCATGTAATGACTCTTACCGATGTTTGGATGCTTGAGTAATCTGCAGATTCTTGCCTCTCTCTCCAGCTTCTGATGGTCTGTAACAGTAAAAATAAAATGTTCTCTTAACCTTTGTAATAGACACTGGTTTAATGTTTTCTACTGTAAAATAAAAAAAATGTATTATGCCTTAATTACATCTTAATATAATGTATGGTAAAAGTATCAGTATTGACCCCACTATTGCATTCATACATACATAAACAAACAAAGACATTTCATTTCACTAAAATACATAAGTTGCCTGTTGCGATTATGGACAGTCAAATGGTGTTGGCATTGGCAATGACAAAATCCAATTGATAGTACTTAATGCAACGTTAATACATTTCTTGTAATTATTCCTCATTGTGATAGGATTTATTTTTGGCTGGTGAGTTTGGTACATTTGACACCTCAGTGAAGAGCCTGAGCACAACTAGTGGGAGGCATCATTGGATAACTGGTTCCATTTCCGACACAGACCAACAATGGTGTTTTTAAAACTGAATTTAAATAGATTTTTTGCAAGAAGCACTTTGTTTGGCTATTTTGTTTCTTTGTGATGCCTACAACCAAGCCCATGTAGATATTTTAGCTGTCCTGTAACAGTTGGAAAATTGTATAAATCCTGTCTGTGCTTTTGAAGCTGGGATCATCTGGAATTGTGTTGCAGTGAATAGATTTGAAAATGCATCTGAGTGAAACTGTCATCTGCTGTTCTGAATGGAACAGACGTGGAGGCTTCACACGCTCCTCAAACACTTGCTAAAATATGCTAATATGACTTCAAAACTGGGATGTAAACATAGATAACATAATGAAAATAAATACTCTGATGTCTTTGCTTCCTCTTTTCCCTGAAAATACACAGAGCTGTTGTGCTTGTGGTTTCCTCTCTTACCTCTGGCTGAAAGCTTTTTGGTGTTGATAATTTTTGCAGCATATTCTTGTCCTGTGCAAAGTTTGACACAGCGGCGCACCACAGAAAATGCCCCCCTGGGAAACAGACAGGAGACAGGACCAGAGGAGGGGGTCAAGTGCTGTATAAGCTTTGTCAGCATCACACTAAGCATCTCAGCTATCAGAGTGACATCACTGCTTTCTCCCCTCTTGTTTTTTATTCACTGAGTATTAAGAGACACACGTGAAAGTAAGAGTGCCTCTGCTGTACTTTTGCTCACCAAGGCCAGAGGAGAATTACAAAAATAACCACCTCTGTCAATTCTCAGAGCTAATTTTACCTCACCTTTGTATTGTTGTATCTCTGAACATGCATACACGATAGGGATGAGTAAGCATCACACTGGGGCCCTGTGGCAGGGCAGTGACAGGTGAAGGACCACACTGCTTCTGCTGGGAATGACGGGGCAGTAGTGAAGATAGCCGTTTAAGGTTCTGATCATCATCTTATCCACTGTATGCTCAACGTAATCTGACTTAGGTAACTGATTTTTAATAAACAGGATAACAAATATATTGGGTTGGTTGGTTAACTATTTTGTTTTAGACCCCAGATGCCAACATATACAATTTAATTAAGTACTGAGATAAACCAACAAATGCCATGGCAATGTCAAATTTCACAGTGAACAAAGTGCTGTTTAACTAACAGATGGGGAGGGGAGAACAGGGGATGCTGGCAAATACTTCTCCTAAACACACCCCTCAGTGGCTAATCACAGGCTGTAAACACACATCTGCATATCCCACTCAAATCACAATACAACACTACACAACTAAAGGCTGAAACACAACAAATAATGTGTTATCAGTGTAGACAGCTGCTGTACTTCTTGTTGTCCTTAATTTATCACTGGTCCCCCACAAGTCCATGGGTAGACTAACATCAACTAGGCTATCTTGGCAAATAAGGATCTGTAAGTGAAGGCAGTGAATTTGGACACTGTTCCTGTGAGAGGCAGACATTGCAGAGAATTCCTCAGCCCACGCAAAACCTGATCACACCGCCTATCGTCTCTGCCACTCTATGGAATACATCTATGACCATTTGTGTTAATGGACCAAAACACACATCCTTAAATTAGTGGTAGTCAGATCCATTGTCCACTTCAGCTCTATGCTCCGAAGACATTAAAATGAACAGCTAATGATGAGGCAGCGTATTTCAAACATATCTTCTTGGACATTAGTAGCTAAATGTATCCCAAATTAGCCTTTAGGCGCATACAACACTCTCCACACACATACCAGCACTCATAGATTATAGCGTGACACTGAGACCAATAGTATAGAGTAGCGTTTCTGAGGCAGTCTCTTTAAAAGTGAGGAAAAGCTCCGGTATAAGTTTGCAACCAAGGACTGAAGCATCCTCCTCCAGCATCACGCGTCCAGGCTCAGTAGGTCTGTCTATTTCAGCTTCAACTATCGCAGGCATGCAAAGACACTATAGAAGTCAGAAAGCTTACTTGCCAAGCTCCTCGTACAGCTGATATTCATCTGTGAAACGTGTGCAGGTAGTCGTTGCCATGATGTTTGCCCGGACGGTGCAGCTTTCCGAGTCCAAAATGCGCGGTGTGTCGCTGCGGACAGGGAGACTTCAGATACAGTCCCCGCCCACCTCCGAGCCTCCAGAACCTCCATGAGTGTCTTCTGCAGCCTCCAACACGTACTGGTGACTGCGGCCGGCTGTGCTGAGCTTAAAAGTATTTTATTATTATTATTATTATTATTATTACTATTATTATTAAAGTGGTGGTAAGGACTATGGTGGCGAGAATTCGTTTTTAGTTAACGTTGAAATGCCATGTCTTGCCTTAAGCATTCAAGCTGTTACTCATCAAGAGCACTGGGTACCAAACTATTTCATACATTTTATTACACCTCCATTGACACATAATCTACCAATTTATTCCATTTGCCGTGTAGATCACATACCTCATAACTCAATCACAGCTCAATAGTTTTTATAACAATTTAAACACAAGCAATAAAACAAACAAGCACTGAAGATTTTCTGTGTTGATTTTTCAGGACCAGATGTTTTGAGCATCCACTGTCTTGCTTTCTATCATTATAATCATATTTTAGAATGCAAATGAAGTGCGTTGTAAATTACGCAGTTGTACAGTGCAGTATTTCCAGATAACCTAAACACAAACTGTATATGGCTAGTAGATTTACAGAAGCACATTTCCAGTTATATAGTAGAAAAATAAATAGGGTTTTCTGCACTTTTGTACAACAGTGTTAATAAACACTTAGATTCTAAAAGAGGATATGGATAAAGAAAGACTTAAGTATCAGCATGTTGCAGCAACATTGAGGTGGTCAAATTTCACTTCGTAACATTACAATTCTTTAGCATACAGGCACTGCTGAAATAATAAATTACTACCAATGCTTCTTATTGCCAAAGAAGGAGTCAGTTTCACACTGTTCAAATGTGTGTTAAGGTTTAGTACATTACAGTTCATATTTGGCTTGTAATCAGGGTGTGCCTCAAAACTGCACTGCACTAGAGGGGATGTCAAACATGGAGGGGTCAAACTCCTGGCCTTTGAATGGTGATCCTTCGGCATCCCAACCTTTCTTTAGCATCTCATGAACTTTCTGTAAAAACAAAGAATAATTTTTATACCACATGTTACATCTCTCCAGGAGTATCAACAAACAAGAAAGGTTTTCTTCACCAGTTCATGACTCTGTGGTTTGCCTTGAAGTTTCTGATGGTAATCAAATGTGAGTCGGTCCAAAACAGCATGCTCCTCTTCATCAACCGTTGCCATAGATCGCTCACGATTAATCTCATTGATGTCTATTTCCTTTTCTCCTTTCAGCACTGCATTCCACCACCAAATGTCAGACGTTTTATTAAGTGATAGCTGCAGAAAAATTGGAAGCATGTTACAATGCTATGGTTGAATTTAAAATCACTTAACATATTAAAGGGAGTATATGTCTTCACTTACAACCACACATTTTCCAGGCTCCAAGCTCCACAGAGAGTTTTCAGTGTTGATTTTGTGGGTGAACTCTCCTTCCATCAATGTTTTCTGCTCAGCTCCATCCTTTACACTCACAGACACACTGCCACTCTGCAGGTTTACTGACACCTGGGATTCAGAAGGATAATAAACAATTTGGTATATTCAGTGTAAACTAAGGGCACACAAAAGTAACTTGTTTTACCTGTCTGCCCTTCACAATTGTCTTTGGCACAAACACACGAACCTCCACATCAGTGGCATCCTGGGACCAGCTGTAGTTTTCTCTTACTGCCCCATTGTAACTGTCTGGGTCTGACTGGTATTTCTGAGTCCTGATGATGGCAACATATTATATTACATGACATGTTATAAAAATCAAATGTCAAATGCACTTGTTTACTCCACATAGATGATACAGTATGTGATTAATTTTCTCTAATATTTATTATTAGGGTTGGGCTGTAATATGGTATTACGGTATACCGCAGTATCAAAAAATTGCAACAGTATCAGTTTCTTTACCATTATTTTAAAATATCTGCAGCGCATAAAGACCGAATATAATATTACAATTTATTGATATCTAAATTTGTTTGCTCAGCATAAATGAATGTGTGGTTGTATCTTCAATTTAATGCATCACGATTTAAAACTAATAGTATCAATAATGTTTCTTTGGGAGCTGACGTTCGATTAGTTTCGTTCCTCTGTCACGTGACAGCTCATAAGGGAGACCAAGACAAGACAGCAAGTCCGGCTGCAAGCGAGTTGGTCGCCCCCAAAAATAATAGTACTTCTCCAATTTGGCAGCATTTTGGCTTCAGGTGCACATTTCTTTACGTTTTACAGAAACAAAACTTAAAACCGTGTGGCTAATTTCCATGAACTGTAAGCGCTGATAAAAACAGCTCGCTTCTTGTGCTGCTGATGCGGTTCAGCTTCTATTGGACTAAAGGACACAACGCAGTGGAATATATATATTATATGTTTTTTTCAGTGGAATATATGTTTTTTCTGTGACAGAGGATGTTGCAGCTGACAGTGAGTCTGTTCTGTGTGTTGCATTGGAGAAAGTTCGTGTTTAACTTCTCAGAGAGTCTGCAGGTCATACGAATAGACCGTACAGTAGTGCGGCTTCATAGTTTACCCAAGTCGTACTAAAACATTTTGGTAATATGGTAATACCGTATAACCCGATAAAATCCTGGATTAACGGCACCAAAATTTGGATACCGCCTAACCCTATTATTATAGCAAAATCTTGCAGTAACACATTAGTAAATTTTTAAATTTAGTTAATTGTTAATGGATAGGGTTAAAAATGCATCTGGACAACATCATTCATAGGTACATACTCATTTGACGGATCAGCAGCAGCTGCTTGGTCTCCTTCAGCTGACTGCTCTGCAGGACTATTAAAGGGCTGAGCATCCTGCACTGGAGCAGTGGGTGCTGGAGAATGACCAACCTCCTCTTTTGAAGTTGTGTCTATATGTGCCTCTTCTGTTCTTGGATGTGCTGATTGTTTTGGGGGATCTGAGGAGACTTCCAGCTCCTGGACAGCAGGAGGAACAGTTCTGCCCTCCTCTCTTCTCTGAAGCTCACTCAGCTGTCTCTCCCTGTCCCGCTCTGCCACTTTCTCAAACAACTTAAATGTCTGGAAAAAACACATAGTATTATACTTAAAGTATATGTAAAAGTAGGCAGTGTTGATCACTTAGTTCTGAATTTAAAAAGCTAATTTTGCAGTAAACAAAATAAATAAATAAATAAATAAAGCAAACTTAATCAGTTAGGGTTTAAAACAGAATTCTCTCATAAATAATATTGGCTTGCAGAAAGAAAGAAAAAAAAAACACTACCTTTAGCACCATTTTCTCAGCAACACCGGGAGGAAATCCCATTTTATCGTTCGAACTTGACATAAGCCGATAAAAGTCTGTTTTGCGATATAAAAAGCCAAAGTAGACCTGCAGAAAGTCCTGTATATTTCCAACATGCTGCAGTATGCCCAACAGGGCGTTATCGTACATTTCTGTCATTTCCAACGACGATGCCATCCCCGGTTAAGACCTTTATCAGCTTTGAGAAGCTGCTGAAGAAATGCTGTATAAGAGAGTAAAAAAATTATGCTTTACCAATAATACGGGCAGTTGTTGATAAAGATTAGAGACCAAACCAAGCTCCTTCCAGAACAAAAGTACCTCCGGTGACGCCAATTCAAATTAAAAATATTTACATTCTACCAGAAAATAAGATCACTGGATCAAACATTAAGCACCCTCAAAACAACTTATCTTTAATATGTTTAGTTAGACTCATTTATATAGGTTGAGATAAAACCACAGTAGCACACTTTCAAAACAATATTTGCCCATTATTTGTTTTAATTTGAAATGGTTCCGGGCTGCACAACTGCACATATGTCCGACAGAAAATGAAAATTAAAACATAGTTCCCGTTTAAAGACATTTTTGCAAATAGTTCCCTGTTTCACTTCGTTTATACATACAGGCATTTATGTAAAGCTTTATTATTTACATGCGTTTGTTTGCTGTAAAATGGGCATGGTGCCCAATAATGTAATAATCATTTACTAATACGAGAACTACAACTATCGGTTTGGAAATAATCATGGCGGCGTCCTTGAGCAGCGCTAGGTTGCTGGTAAGAATATACATATTTAAGGATATGTAGTTTGTTACTCTGTATGTCCTATTCATGATCATCAAATAAGCCATCTGTTATGTGATCCTGAACATAAGCCACCCTTTGTAATTTGACTTATTTTAAGTTACCAAAATTTCGCTTATCGTCCTAACATTTTTCGCTAATTGAAACTTGAGGCAGCATTCACAGCAGAGCCTGTTATACTCCCAGATTCACTGTGTTTTGAATGATAGTAACTTTATTTTTTCAGTGTTTATCAACCAGGTTCTGCTACGGAAACCGAAGCCTCCACGTCAGTGCTGTGTGCTTCAAGGTAACATAATTCATCACCCATCAGCAGCTACAGCAACATCTCATCTGCAGTGTTCTCATGGCTTATTTTTTCTTTCAGAATAGAGCGGCTCGTATTCGTGTTGGCAAAGGAGACAAACCTCTAACTTATGAACAAGCTAACCCTCCTCATCAAATCGGCCATAGGAAAGGTTGGCTTTCACAGCACACTGGTAAGTTCTTTCACGTTCATCTTTAAAATATAGTGCAAGCAGATTTATGTTATTAGTAAACTATTAGAAATACCTTTATAGTAAGTACATCAATGTGTTGTTTAATTGTAGGTAACCTGAAAGGAGAGGGTGGAGCTGCAGACCGTACAATTGAAGATATTTTTATAAGGCGCTTTATGTTTGGCACATTTCATGGTTGCCTTGCCAATGAGATTGTGATCAAAAGGCGTGGAAATGTGCTTATAGTGTGTGCTTTAATGTTACAGAAATTACCTCCACAGAAGTTTTACTTTTTGATTGGCTATTCAGAGTCACTGCTGTCACACTTTTACAAATGTCCTGTTAAATTAGAAATTCAGACTCTGCAGGATAGACCTGTGTATAAATACATATAGACTTAGGCATTGTTGATTGTCAGATTTTTTTTCATGAAATCTGGATGAATTTCAGGTGTGTAAGTAAAAGTTTTCAGTAATTCATATAAAGTCTAATTTATTTAATCATTTTAATCACAGTGCAAATACATTCACATTTAAGGCACGTGGACCTTGTCAGTGCAAATACAAGGCACTTAAAGTGAACACTTCCCTTTATATAAACTCACAGTTGAAAAATAATTTTATGATCACATTGGTAGTCTTGAGACAAGCAAAAAAGTAAAAATATCTAAAATCTAGTGCATTAAAATATTAAAATCAACACATCCATTCAAGAAAATACATCTGTTTTTCTCTAGTAAAAGAACAATAATTTTAGAAAGTCATGAATCAGTGTTTTCTGTTGACAGCAATTCTCTGCATATCTTCGTACATATGTATAGTTGTGCGTTTTTTGTTATTTTTTTTTTCTTTTAGTTTAAAACAACTGAATGTGTAAGATTTTGACAATATTATACCCAAACTAAAAACAAAGGAATAAGGCCCAAAAAATGGGCATTGCTCAGATGTATAAAAGCGTATCAGAAGTCTGTAAATTGACAGCTGTGGTTGGTCCTACCTCATATTAATTTCATGTTTTCATAGTCTCTGCAGCCATTGCTTACACATGATTGAAGCTTAATCAGTCGCTGATTCATGGTCTGGAGAACAGTTGGGTCCATTTTCTTGAAAATATTTTCCAGTTGGTTAGGATCCGATGTTAGGTTGTACACCTCTACAAATGACTAGAAAGAAGAAATACTTTAATAAATGATTTTTCATAAAGTTACATAAAGATCTAGTTGTACCTACTTCACTGTCTGCAAATTCACAGTATTGGAGATCCTGGTCTGAACTGAGGGACCGTACACAGGCATATGTATTGTTGTAGGCATCCTCACATACACAGTTGGGAAAACATTGCTGGAAAGTAAACAGGATTCAGGGTTTTTTTTTTAGGGGTGATGTCTGCTGAAGGGAAGTGTACCTCTCTAATCATTGGACTATGCTGATTTTGTGAAAACCACTTACTGACAGTCCAGGTCCCAGTTTGGGACAAGCTGGATCTGAAATTGGATGCCCCTCTCCTGTATATTCCACAAGGAAAAATGGCCGAGTTGTCCCATTACGCAATGATGGCGCCTGGGGCAAAGACATTTATCAGGTATTGTAAAACACTTTCAAAAACATTCAGAACTACAAAAGGACAACCATTTGGGAGAGGAATGATTGACCATCCACATTGACAGCTGACAGGTTCACTCCTGAGATGTCCAGTATAGTGGGTGCCAGATCAATGTTCAATACAGGAGCCTAAACCATCAAAAATAAAATGTTATCATTAACATTTAATAAAAATTGCTGGAGTTTATGTATTCTTGTGACCTTCACTGTAATGTTTGGTTTGATGCCTGGACCTCGAACTAGAAGTGGAATCCTAATGTCAAACTCATACAGCTGTCTTTTGTCGATCGGTAGTGAGAACTGACCTGGAGCAGAAAATAAAGGTTGTTTATCTGAAACGTACTGTATAAACCTCATTGTCATCACATTTTTTTTTGGCCAAACCTGTGTGATAACCATTGTCTGATGTGTAGAAAATGTATGTGTTGTTCAGCTCTTGTATATCCTTCAGTTTTTTTACTATTGCAGCCACCATGTCATCCACAGATAATAATGTCTGCCACCTGCAAGAAATTTATTTGGCATTGAAAGTAAAACCTACATTTAGCTCCTTCATCCATACCATACCTCTTCCTATATGCATTATCCAAGTAGTTGAGTGAACTATTTGACATTGGGTTGCTGGCCTGACGCAGAAGCCAATGCTTATCCTGAAACATACATGATCAATGGGCTATTCAGATTCATGTACAACACAGCATAATTAACTAAGCTCAAAATGTGTTTTAAATTTTTTTACTTTTCCTAGTTTGTCAAAACTGCCATCCCGAGGTGCTTTGATATCGACAAACTTATTCTGGTGTTGTGGAGCTGCTGTCCAGGGAGAATGGGGCGCAGGGGGGGACAGCATCAAGAAAAATGGGTGTTGAGGACTCCTATTGTCTAGAAAGCTCAACGATCGGTTTGTCTGTCAAGAGAATAACAAAGTATGTAATTGCAGAATCTTAAATATGTTATATGTTTTATACTTATGCTTGATACACTGCATATGTCAAATGCATAAAAAATTAGACATCCTTAATTATTCACTTGCTTAGTTTAGTTTAATTTTTTTTTACTCAAATGACTGTTTAAGCAGTATATTTCGCATAAAACTTTATTTGGAAGAACATTATGTCAGGCCAAAATAAAACTCTAACTAGTCCTTTATAAGACTCAGCAGCTGATTCAGCCATTTACTAAGAACAGTTTTATTTTCTCCATAAAAACTTACATAATTTGGCCTTTAAAACTTCAGACCATGAAATTTGTTTGAGATGAATTCTGACGAACTTACAATGAGATCAGTGAGATAGTCCTTTTCATAGCTGTCACCATGAATTTCTTCTTTGCCGTTGACAGACAGAGTGTAGTTGTAATACTGGGAGTTTCCAACCTAAAGTGATGCAAAGAGTATGTCACAATACTGGGATAATCATCAGCATAATGTGAAAAGGAGACATTATTATATCATATTTATTTTTAAGATGAAAATATGAATGATTCACCAATGCATGCCACTGATCCCAACCAGGAGGAACATGGGCAACATCTCCCACTTCTTTTCGTCCATACTGTGAAATAAGGACACTATACAATACTGTACATTCAAACACTGGCTATATTAGTATAAAACAATTACACATTAGTGTTTCATTGTTATAATGTAATAGCTGCTAAAAACCTGGTTGAGGTACTTTCCAGCAAAGAAGGTCTGGTACTTCTGTTTGTTGAGGTAGAAGGGGAAAGTCATAGACTCTGGGCCTTTTTGCCAGAGCACACTGGAGCAGTTTCCAGACAGAGAATTATTCCTCACCGCGTGGTTGTGAGGGTACTGCCCGGTCAATATACTGCTACGACTGGGACAGCACAGTGGTGTCACTGTAAACTGGCAAAGACATATAATGAAGCACAACCAATATACCTACTGAAAGGTACAACTTAAAACGGGAGCACTCACAGAATTGATAAATGTTGCTCCAGCTTCTCCAATTAGAGTTTTTGTTTGGCTCATAGGGTTCTGTGGAAGAACAGGGTAGTCTGTGATTAAAACAATACATCTGTTCTGATGTATTTATCTCATTTAGGCCATATGTTGGCCTAAATTAGATATATTATAGGGCTAATAAAAGTAAAATAGATCAAAATAATTAAGTTTGGTGTAGGTGGTGGATAATAGTAATATCTACTTCATAGCTCCACGGAGTGATATGATGATTGCGGCTGACACCACCAGACTACACAGTTTTAGAATGTAGATAAAGATTATGTTGACAGCAAAAGGTATAGCCCATTTAGATGGACACATTTTTTTCGTGCTCACCATTCCACCGAGCGTGACATCCTGATCATCGGCTAAAATGAGTACGACGTTACTGGGTTTGTCGCACCTGACGCAGCAGGTGAGCAGCGATGTGACCAGAACCAAACAGACAACGACATGTCTTCCCCTCAGCAGAGCCCCTATCGCTGCCATCGGGCTCCACGCCAGTGCCCAGTCTCCAGACGGGTCTGTTGGGGCTCAGGCAGCTTTCGTTTCCTCTCAACAACAGGACAAATGTGCAGTGCTGTGGGAGGGGTGGCGAGTACAAAGTTTAAGGAAGTGCGTGCTGCAAGTCATATGACTGTTTTTAGAAATGCAAAGAGGAAGAGAAGCGCAGTCAGCTGAGGGAGCTGAGGGGAGACCAGAACACTTTCATACTGTACATTAAGCAATAGATAAAATGTCAAGTAAAATAAATAAGTAGAAATGACTAAATTAATATAAAATAATATTATAATAAAATATAATAATATATAACATCAGCAGCATAATATCATATAACTTTTAATTAGAGGCAGATTTGAATATAAGGCTAAATCTGTGGGAGGAATGACCCTCCAATGGTTATTGTTTATTATGTTTGCTCATTATTATTTATTATTGTTGAATATAATTGTAAAATAACGCTCTTACTAATGTTATTTTGTACGAAAGAGCATTACGAAAGAGCATTGTAGTCAGTGAAAAAAAAATACTGGAGGGGGGAGGACAGGGGGGGATTACGAGATACTATCTCGTAATTACGAGATAATCCCCCCTCCCCTCCCCCCTCCAGATTTTTTTTTTTTTCACTGACTACAATGCTCTTTCGTACTTTCGTACAATGCTCTTTCGTAAATTTTACTTTGGGTGTGAGACTCACGAGTATCTGCCAGTGAAATGTCTCCCTCTTGTGACCGTGGTGTCTGTGTTCATGGCAGTATACTTCAAATTCAACTTTAAATGGATGGTTTTCAAGTCAGCACAGTAGATGCCATGCGGAATGTAACAATATAATACTATCAATAGTTTTTACCCCTAAAATTTATGATGGGGTTATTATCATTATTATCATTCTCTGATTGCAAAGCATACTACTGTGATCTACACTAGAGCGTGTTTCCAGTCGGAAATGTTTGGTGAGACACTGATTTCTCAAGGGAGGAGTGAAGGTGGCATGATGGATACGATCTGCTTAACACGGTGCATCAATTGAAATGCTTTTAACTTTAACTTTTAAATGCCAAGTTTTTATTATTCGTTAGAAACTAATTATGGTGCCTCTGAAGCGAAGGAAAGTCTGTGGTGCTGTATCTGGCAGGGAGACTACAGTCAAATTTCCACATGTAGTTATATATTTATTAGAACGAAAAATGGGAGCAAGTCGGAGAGCCTTTCTTTCGCAACTAGGCCGGAAAAATGGTTTTCGAGTAGAAGATGATTTTAGGTAAATGGCCTTACAAGCTTTTTGATCTTTCTACTTCTTTGCTTCTTACAACCTATAGCCACTTTTTGTGTCCACAGTGACAATGTTACTCATGTCATATCTGAAAACAACTCTGGGGATGAGGCGAGGACGTGGCTGGACTTGCAGCAGAAAGGCAATGTGACTGTAAAACTTCTGGACATATGCTGGTACACTGAGAGCATGCGCCTAGGCTGCCCTGTTGAGATACTGGACAAGCATAAATTACAGGTGCTGTAAAACACACAAATTATGCTATTAGAATAGTTTTTTTGTTTTATTTTATTTATTTTTTCAAATAAAGTATTGGATATTACTGCTTTATGTTTTAGGAGGGGCAGAAATTTCAAGAAGAGTCAGTGGAGTTTTCAGTGCCAGTGGAGTTTTCAGTGCCAAGCTATGCCTGTCAGAGGCGAACCTCTTTGGAGAACCATAACACGAACTTCACTGTCCGTTTCATTCAGTCATTACTTTACATTACTGTTAATTTATCATGCCTATTGTTAATAATGTCAATAGTTTCTTTGTTTTAGGATGCTTTGTCACTTTTGGCAGAAAATGCAGAACTCAATAATGAGGATGGCAGAGCTGTTGCATTCCAACGAGCTGCTGCAGTTTTAAAGGCACTTCCTGTAAAAGTTACATCCATGACACAACTCCAAGGGCTGCCCTGTCTGGGACAGCACTCTCAGAGGGTCATCAAGGTGGGTATAGCAACTTGGAGACTGTTTTTGCTAATATTTTAATCTTTTTTGTTATAGGACATTATTGAAAATGGCGTATCAAGTGAAGTGGAATCAACTATAAATTCAGAGCGTTTCAAAGCTCTGAAGGTAAGACAGCTGACAAACATGCTTGCCACCCTCGACCATTACCATGTAATCTTAATAACATTTTATATTTTACTTAAGCTTTTAACTGGTATTTTTGGAGTTGGGGCAAAGACTGCTGACCGATGGTTTAGGGAGGGAATTCAAAACCTCACACAGTTGGAAAATTCAGGACATGACCTTAATCGTGCCCAACAAGCAGGTCCTTCTTTTATTTATTTCATAAATAGTATTCTATTACCTGTTTATGTAAATCTGGGTCATGTTTTAATTAGGTCTGGAACACTATTATGACCTCAACCAGCCAGTCACAAAGGCTGAGGCAGAGATCATTGGTGACATTGTGAAGAAGGCAGTACATGATGTGTTACCAGGGTCTGAAATCACCCTGACTGGCGGATTTAGGAGGTTAAATGGCACATTATATACACTGAATGCTTGTTAAACTGATAACAAAAGCATAAAGAATGAACACAAATCAATTTACAGTAATGAAATCATCTTGACTGTCTCTAGAGGGAAGATATCAGGACATGACGTTGACTTCTTGATAACTCATCCAGATGAGGGAAAAGAAGTTGGACTTATGGCTAAAGTGGTCTCCTGGTTAACAGCACAGGTAAAACAAAAATAAAAACAAACATATATCTGTGTATGTAAGTGTAAGGTTTTTTTTAAAGCAGTTGTATTTTTAGGGTTTGTTGTTGTACCAGAAAACAACTAGAAACTCATACCTGGAGAATGAGGAAGGCCCTGCACAACCACCTTCAAATATAGACCGATTTGAAAGGTGTTTATCAATTTTTAAGCTGGAGAAAAAGGAGATGCATTCAATACGTTTACATCCAGGAACACAGAGTAGCGACCGAGAACCAGCGATCATTGAACATCTGCAACATTTCCAAGCAAACAGTTTCTCAAATTCACAAATGAGGCCCAATAGAACGTGGAGGGCTGTTAGAGTGGATTTAGTGGTGTCCCCCATAAGTCAATTTGCCTTTGCTGTTTTAGGTTGGACGGGGTCTAAGGTAAGGTAACTTTACACAGTTGTTGTTGTTTTTTTTAAACAGAAAGGTTATATTGCATTTTTTAAAAGTTGTTTGAGAGAGAATTGCGCCGATGGGCAGGTCAAGTAAAGTCCATGTCTCTAAGTAGCCACGCTCTCTATGACAGTAAACAGGTACAGTGTCTGCTTATAGTTCTGTTATGTTGTTAATGTGTTGTGTTTGATTGGATTTGCTTTCTTTCAAACAGTGTAAATATCTCAGGGCTACATCAGAAGAGGAAATATTTGCTCACCTTGGTCTGGAGTTTATCCCACCAAAAGAAAGAAATGCTTGAATTTGTCACTATTTCTGTAATTAATAATGCACATATTGCCAAATTAAAATTACTGAATAAAATTAAGATATAACATTAAATTGGTACGACTGGGGTTGTATGTTGTTACACTGGATTTTAAATACTTAAATATTGCAAGGGATAAATTTGGGAAACTCAAATGTAAAAGCAAAGGTAATTCCCATGCATGCGTAAGTGTGCCACTTACTCGTGATGAGGACGTTTAACCACGAAAACATCTGTGCTCCATTTTTTTCTGTAGCTGCAGCAATTGTATCTCATGCAGACATTTTGAGTCTACTTTGCTGCAGTAAGAGCTGAGACACTTCACGTGTGTGTGGGACTCCGGGAGTGCCGACTCAGAGACACTTCCACACCTCTCACTAACAGCCTTATTAAGTTCTAAATACTAGTGTAACATCAAAGGCAGCATCAGCACTCACACCTCTGACTCCTCTCACATGCAAACCTTGCAAACTGATCATGCACAGTTTAAGAAAGTATGTTACTCAAAGATGTAGCAAACTCATTTTTATCCGTTATCTGTTATGTATAAATGTGTTATGCAGAGAATAAATTTATATTGTAAAACTGTTTGCATTTTGCTCATATTCAATTTCCTTTTAAAATAATCATGCATGTTTAAAATCACATAGTAATACATCTGTAACATCCAGCCTCAATCATTTAATTCCATAAGCAGGAAAGACATTTAACTTTGAGTCTATTGCTTAAAAGGTACTGGTCACCAGAAGTGTCTGAGCAGTCCAGACCGTTGGGTGTGAATCCTCACGAATGCCTTCATCCCAAATATCAATATTCCCCATGTAAGTTTTTCAGAGGCATTTTCCCTCTTGCCCATGTGTTGAGGGGCGTCTGCTCCGCCAGGACCAGTCCCACTGGCCCCATCAAAGCCCAGGGTGCCTTTGATGAGGTTGATAGGGATCAATAGCAGAGGGGAAGAGGCCTTAACTGACTGTGTTACAGACAGGGCGGGCAACCACTGGAGACTGCTGCTATTTAGTTCAATGATTATTGGGTGTCACCTGCACCTTCATTAGAGTTCCCATTCAGGTACTGTTAAGTTAAAAACTCAAAGCCACATTAATTTCATTAAGTTCCTGCACATTCAACCAGCAAATGATGTAGAATATTTTGACAGCACTTGTGTGACAAAGTTTCAAACTCGAGTTCAAATGTCAGACTGTTTTCGAGAATAAAAGGAGGGGAAAGTAACTCTAGTCTTGTGTCCTGGCATGTCTGCCTGTCTCCCCACGACTGGTTACTTCTCCCTGGTGCAGCTTGAGGGGCAGAGATGTGTTTGTTTCCATAACAGAGTAGCAAACAGGCCCATTAGACATGAAAGGCTCTGAGTACAACCACTCAGCAGGAGACAGAGGGCCACAGACAGTAACAGCCTCGGACTGCTCTGACGGCATTGGAGGATGAGCATAGCAGTTTATTGTGATACCGTAGTGTTTGTATTTGCTCAGTTACTTTCATCTGATGGAGATGTATAAACAACAAGTAAAGTGTCAACAGATATTGACCCATAATACTTACCCAAAGTCCTTTCTACTGGGTCACCAAACCAAACATTGAATGAAGAGGAATTATGTTTGGATTATTATCCCTCTCAAATAATCTGAGGTAGGACCCATGGCCTAAAGAGTGCACTAGTCTGTGACCCCAGCTGTATTAACTGTATTGTACAATAATATAATGAATATTATTGTTAGTGTCACAATTGATAACAATGACACAACCATGATTGTATTCAGGAGGCAGTTGCATAAACTGTGTGGGTATTTTCTTTGTTTCTCCTCTGTCTACCTGAGCCTTGAGTGATACTGTTTTAGTGAGTGAAGTGTCTCTGAGAGAAGAAGTATCACAAGTGATGGGGAAATAACTGAATACAAGTACAGAGAATACGTATTCTGAATACTAATTTTGAGTAAGTGTATTCTGGTAAAGATTTTTCAAACTCCTTTTCAATCTTTCAAGCTTTTTTAAATTAATTTTTTACATTAAAGGCCTTAATATAATACTCTGCGTGTTGACCTTAATAGAATGGACAGAAAGATTGAAGACTGGTGTACCTACATTTGACTCAATATAGAAAGGGGATAGATAGCCTCCACCTAAGGATAACTCTATTGGCAAAAAGTGATCTACAGATATTGTCCATAAAAATAGCATTGGGTGGATGTGAGTAGATGAGATATTATTTTATTGCACAAAAACAGATTTGATTTTTGAAAACACTCCCATACCAGAGTCAATTTGTACTTTATAATACCAAAAAGGAAATAGGAAATACTTCTTTTTAAGTTTATACTTCAATTCCAATTGTAAACAGGCCAACAGCAAATTCCCTGATTGGTTGATTGCAATAAAAGAGTAGCCTACCTACCATTATCATTTATAAAGCTTCATGTCTGCTGAACCTTTCTTTTGTAGGCTAATTGTAAAGGGCGGTTCATCATCATATAATTTGTCTTACATTAACAATCCTAAATCTTGACCAAAAAATAACTTAGAAGTTAGTGTTCTAAGTACCCTAAACGAATATGGCTACTGGACTTGTACCAGTCGGTCCTTTTAGGGCGCCTCAGTTCTTGAACAGTGATCCTAATGGCGGATTATGGGATTAGGCTGATTTGTTTTAGGGAGATGAGTGTGAAATAACTACTGTTGCACAAAGCTTCGTCTCAGGAGCGGCAAACGATAGCTCTGTTTTGTGTGCAAATGTTGCATTGAACCAGTGGTCATATTCTAGGCTTACAGAATTAATCAGATCACTGGTGAAACGTCGTCATTGATAAGATAATGAGGGCACTCGGTGAACTGCACGGCTGCAGACGCTCGTCTGTCTGTGCGCACGGCGGGCAACACGGGCGGGTGCTAATAGCTCATTAGGGACAGAGGCACTTCAAAGCCTTTCTGCGCTTTGATAGCAATACGACCAACACGAGACAGAAAACCTCTTTACGTCGTCTCGTGAGTAAAGGCGCCCGATTTGAAAGTCGCTGCCGCTGACTGTAGGCGTCTACAAGCCATGAGGGTAAGATATCTGCTCAAATGTGACAAATGCAGCTACACTTCAACATGATTTAAGCCCAAACACTAATTTGAGCGCCTTTGGGTTGGGTTTGCGTGTTATGGGAATAGCCTGCCGAGATCTGAACAGCCCTTTAATACAGGACCTTTGCTGTTCATGGGCCTAGGCCTGCCACATGTTATGCAAGGACGCTCATCCTTTGAGTGTCATTCAACCTCATTGACCTAGTGCATGAATGCTGTGAAAGCTGAAAATGAGTCTAATCAAAACTGAGCAATATCTGTTTAGTGATAAATGCAGTGACAAAGGCAATCACATGGGGCTGTTACATGGGTCACCTGAATCATAAAAATTAGATGGAGGGCCTATTAAACAAACACAGTTTTTCAAGTGGATGTGATTGGGGAGGCAGACAGCGGGATCAAGGTGTGTCTCTAGAAAGCAGGAAAAGAGGACAGGACTAAAGGGGGTCTCCCAGACTCACTGGAGCCACGGTGTAACAGCCTCATAGAGACTGAATGAGACGATCTTAATTACTCTAGTTGTGAAAACGGAGGGTGGGAGCAATGGGAGGATGCAAGCTTTGATCTCAGGCTGAGGGGCTCTGACATGAGGAGGGCCCTCCCCTATAAATACTGACCAGCTCTCATAACTCACTAGAAGCTTATGCCTCACCATTGTTTGGACTTGGGACATTACCTTTTCTCAACTGGGTTTATAAACATGAAGGGAATTTTTTCTATTGAATGGATGGCCCAAAGCAGCCAGTCAACCAGTACAGAGTCTGTATCAGGTCCCCGACTGGCCAATGAACCCACTACTTGTGGAACAAACTCAGAAAGCCTGCCTGGATTCTACTGCAGACAGAGAGCAGAAAAGGGAGAACAGGAAAGCAGCTCTGATCTTGAACATTGCAGTCCCTTTATGTTACCCAGTCCTCAGCATCAAACCTCCCACAGTGCTTCGGGTAAGTTTCCTAATGAAGAATTGTGTGAGTTCAGTCTGTTGTTGTGTGTAATCTAAGAGTACCTCTTTCTTTAGAAAATGGAGCAGAGTTCAGCAGTGGGGCTGAAGAGGAGACTTCTGGGTATGAGAGTGAAGAGGGACATTCACATTCCCCAACATCGCCTGAAAATGCAACCTCCACCATTCCACCTTCTCCTCCATCAGGAAGGCGACCTCGTACAGCCTTCACAGCAGAGCAAATCAATAGTTTAGAGCAGGCATTCAAGAGGAATGCATACCTAGGAACACAAAACAAGGCTGAGCTCTGCAAGAAGCTCAACCTCTCCGACAAACAGGTAAAGATGAAGATTAAGAGTATACATAGACTTAAACTTAGATTTAGACTAACTTTATTGATCCACAAGGAAAATTACTTGGACACAGTAGCTCACATATTATATTACATATTATAATAACAAAAACAAAAAAATATATAAATGGCAGTAATAAATTCTAAATTAGTAGCAAAAAATTGCAAAAGACTGGTGTCAAATAAGGCATACTTATACTTATATAAATGTATATGTGCAAGCAAAAATTAGTTTTAAAAATATACACGGTGTCAGTATTGCCTATATCTAACTTCTTTTGCTAATAATACATTGCTATGTCCAGATTCGCAACTGGTTCCAGAACAGGAGAATGAAGCTGAAGAGGACAGTGCAGGATGCCCTGGCTCATGCTTGCCAGGCAAATGTGGCACCTCATTTCATGCATTATCCTGAGCTGCAGTCCTACAGAGCATCTCCTTATCCAAGATTTCATTCAGCTGGACAGGACAGTTCTCTCACTGTTGGCCCCTATGTCCAGCCACAGGGTCTACAGTACACTCCTGCTCTCAATGCCGGGATGTACCAGTACAGCAGCCTGCCGTCAGTCATGCTTCCCTCTTCTGCGGCACCAGTTATGGGGTCATACCCCTCATACTCCCCATACTACTGACTATATTTACATATATAATGCATATATCCTAGCAGGGTAAAGACTGTTTAAGTTTAATAATAAGATGATAAGAATGTGGTTCCAGGCCACTCCATATGTATCAAATGTATAGTTTTGGTCTATTTAAAATTGAATTATTTGATATTTTTTTCAGCCACTATATTGCTTAAATAAAATTATCATTGCAATTTCTAATGTGCACTTTGTTCATAATTTTCTATCTATTTTCTAATTAATTTGGTGGAATGTCAATGATTGTCAACACCTCATCAAATTTCAGAAGTTAAGGAAGTCTGGTTGAGAGACCAGTAAAATCAGGTGCTGCAGTGAGGCGACGGTAGCAAAAAACATTGATGTGTCCTCAGGTTAGAGTAAGATACTTCACCCGCATTGCCTAGGATGAAAGTGATGTGGAGGAGTGTCGATGGTGACGCAGATTGGCAGTCTGGCATCTGTCAATCTGTCCTAGGGCAGCTGTGGTTATAATTTACTGCCAGTATAGAGTGAATGAATGATGCACTGTAAAGCAGTTCGGTTGTCTTGAAAGGCACTATATAAATTCAAAAATTATCATTAAAAATGTTAATGCATTTCCACTCAAGTCTAACAGATATGCTTGTTTTGAAACAAATTATTTGTTTATCAGTTCATTTATTTTGACAAGATCATTAATATTTAGTCTAGGTGCTTCACTGTGATTTTCTGGAAGTTAGCGCACTTCAAAAACACCATGTGTCTTGCATCCTACAAGCAAATAAATTGAACTGAATGTATAGTTTGTTTGTTTATTTATTTATGTATTTATTTTTACATCCTTGGGCAAATCAAATGGGCCTTACAACATTGGTCTTGAATTCATATAGGTCTATTTAAACAGTTACAGAATTAACTTGTAAATTGCAATCTCAAAAAGTGATGGTGGTCTAAATGTAATTGATTTTGAACCTATAAATGGAATGCTAAATTTAAAATGGTTGCAAAACTTTATAAATAATATAGACAAGTTCTGGTTTCATATCCCTGCCAAAATTTTCTTAGACTGTGGTGGCATTGAGTATCTGCTCATCTGTGACTTCTCTACCATTAAATTACCACTCAAATTATCAACATTCCACCAACAGGTCCTTTTAAATTGGGAAATGGCATACACACACAATTTCACTCCACATAATGTACCTATCTGGAACAACAGATGTATTCTTTCCAAAAGAAAATCTATTTATTATGAGGACTGGGTGAGAAAGGGGATTTGGTCCATTTCACATTTAACAGATTCTAATGGGAACCTTATGAACCATGAAAATCTCATGAAGAAATATGATTTACAACGCTCAAAATGGCAATATAATACAATCATCAAAGCTATCCCATTACAATTGTTAAATCTAGTTAGTGGCATGTTGAGGTATGATAAAATTACACCAAAATTCCCTTTACTCACCATAGATGAATTTGAATTTAAAGACAAAAACTGCTCAAATAAAATAATAAGAAACTTTATTACTACCAAATTGTGTCCTCTCCCATTAAAAAGAATTTGTATACTTAAAGACTTTCCAGTTAATATCATTTTAAAAATTAGAACAAATTATCTCTCATTTCCAATCTCCCCTAAAGCCAAAGAAACTCACTTCAAAATTTTTAATATTTACCTCTGTAATGAATTCTTGAAAAAACGTTTTATATAGGGACCAATAACTGCGCATTTTGTAACAGTGAAATAGAAACTGTTGAACATTTGTTCTTTCATTGTAGCCATATTAGAACGTTTTGGGACTCATTCCAAATGTGGATGGTGGAATATGATACAGATTTACCTAATGTAACTTATAAAGATATAAAATATGTAGTAATTTTGCAAGACAACAAAAAGGAGCTGTTCTATAATTCTTGTTTATTACTAGCCAAACAATTTATTCATAAATGCACATTCTCAAATATAAAACCCTTGTTCAATATATCTCATCATGATTTTTTCCAATTTAAGAGATCCTTACATCACATTAAATCTAAACAAGTCATTATAATAAATTATTTTATGCAGTCAGATGCATAAGACCTCTTGCATTGTACTTTGTTGTATTAACATTGTATTGTGTGTATTTATTTTATTGTGTGTATTTATTTTATTGTTTTATTGTTGTTTTATTTTATTTATTTTATTGTTATTGTTTGTTTGTTTTTAAAGTACATACTGAGTCATAAATTTGCACTGTTGACACAGTGTATCTTGTATTGCCAGCATTGATAAATAAATAAAATAATAATAATAATAATAATAATAATAATAATAATAATAATAATAATAATTAAAAAAGGTAATGTTGGCTATGTTGGCTATTCAGCCATTTTGAATGTAGCAATAATTACAATTAGGCTACATGGCTTGAATTATAGGTGATTCACTTAACAGATACAACAATCAGCTTTAAAAAAGTACGACTGAGTAACGTGTGTATTTAAAGTTACCGTCCACCGCCAAGTTTGTTAATTGCTCCTGTTATCCTGCTGCCCATACGATTTAGCCTACTGTACGTGTGTGCCAATGACGCCATCTGTTGGCAGGTCAGGGTAAAAAGCGCAGTTCTTTACATGCATCATGGAGATGTATGGATTCCATGTGTAGATGCCGATGCCGGCTCATGATGCCGCCCTGCTGGTGAAAACTGTAGTTGACAGCAAAATGGGCGGAGTTTTCCCTATTCAGAAGCCAATCAAAAAGTTTTAACCGTGGGAACCCTGATTATTGACAGGCAGACAGGCCTATCAAATTTCTTCCCCAGGCGCCTCTTCGACATGCGTGAAAGGAGCGCGCTGAGGGCAGTGTCGCGCAGAAAGCAGCTACGCAGGAGCGGGGCAGAAGCCGATGGTGGAGTCGAAGATGGCGGATGGAGACAGCGGGAGTGAGCGCGGTGGGAGTAGTGGCGGAGGTGGAGGCTTCCAACACTTTCAGAGGGACCAGGAAACCCAGGAGCTGGCGTCCAAGCGACTTGACATCCAAAACAAACGCTTTTACCTGGATGTTAAGCAAAACAGCAAAGGCAGGTTTATAAAAATCGCCGAGGTTGGGGCCGGGGGCTCCAAAAGTCGCCTGACTCTGTCGCTGTCAGTTGCAGCCGAGTTTCGGGACTATCTCGGGGATTTCATCGAGCATTACGCACAGCTTGGACCTAGCAGTCCGGAGCAGATAGCTCAAGCCAGTGTGGGTGAAGACGGCGGACCGAGGCGAGCGCTTAAGAGTGAGTTTCTCGTACGTGAAAATCGCAAGTACTACCTGGACCTGAAGGAGAACCAGCGAGGGAGGTTCCTGCGCATCCGGCAGACCGTGAATCGTGGGCCAGGCTTTGGAGTTGGGGGCCCTGTGGGCGGTATGCTTTCCGGACAGACCATCGCGCTTCCGGCCCAGGGGCTCATAGAGTTTAGGGACGCCCTAGCTAAACTCATAGATGATTATGGCGGGGACGACGAAGAGCTGACCTCTGGCACTGCTGCAGGAGCATACGGGGAGCTACCCGAGGGCACATCCATCATGGTTGACTCTAAGCGCTTCTTTTTCGACGTCGGCGCCAACAAATATGGGGTGTTCCTGCGAGTGAGTGAGGTGAAGCCGAGCTACAGGAACTCTATCACCATCCCGTTTAAGGCATGGAGCAAATTTGGGGGCGCGTTCAGCCGGTACGCCGAGGAGATGAAGGAGATCCAGGAGAGGCAAAGGGATAAAATGTACGAGAGAAGAGACGAGTCTGAGGCGGACGATGTGGACGACGACTGACCAGTGAAAGTTGACAGATGTGGTAAAGAAGATACAGATAATGTGCATGACGATCGTGCTGTATTAGCCTACTAAAGTATCTTGACAGAAAAAAAATATGTTGTACATGGATTTTGATGTATATCCTGACGTGTGTAGGTTCAGGTTGGGTTGGTTGTGTGAATTTGGAAGTGAAAACGTGGATTTAATTTTTAATTTTTGGCTGAAAACAGAGTGACTTATACTTTATATTATTAAGAGGAGAGAGAACCCACTAAAACCAGCAAGTTTATAAGAAAAAAGTATACTTTCCTATTTACAACCTAGTTTTACACATTAAAGAGGCTGTCTTTATGTTATGTTTTCTAATAGAGAATTGGCATAAATTGTATTTCTGTTTGGTTCATCTCTCTTCAGAGGATAATAATATGTGGGGACTTGCAAGTCAGTTAATTGTACCTATAAGAGGAATGTAAGGAAAGCCTTTGTTTTTGGCTGGGCGTTTGCATTGGCATGTCAGCAGATGGGCAGCTGTCAGGACATTGGTTTTTGCAGCAGATTACCCAAAATTTTGGGTGAAGTTGTAGAGGAGATTATCTGTAAGCCCAAATAAAGGGGCTTGGGGACAAAATTTAAGATTTGACTTAAGCAGTCAAAGCTGTTATAGGAATCAGCAGGGTTTAATATTAAATATAAAAATCTGAGCAATATTTGGGAAATCTTGAACATGCTGCATAATCTGTAGGAGCAGTGTGTTACCTGGTGTGTTTCACAGGTTCACAGTCCCAGAGCGATGGGACTGTGTATACGTTAGTGCTGTCCCACATGACACTTAGGGGTCCAATACTGAGTTCCATTCCCATTCAGCACCCTGTTGTGGTCAATGCAGACGGCCACTCTTATCTGCACATTGTGCAGACCCCAGCAAGAAACAAAGAAACTCATGTTTTGTTTTGTTTTTTGTTTGTTTTTCCTTTTTTCAAAAGAGAACTCTATATTGAAATGAAAATCTACTTATATTAAAGATATTACCGAAAAGATATTTTGAAATACTTATAAGAAAATGTATTGTGTAAAAGAACTTCAAGATGAAAAAAAAATAAATAAGAATAATTTCTTAAAACATATTTGTGACTCCAGTTCGAGTTTGTAGCAAGACTTTCTTCTTGCTGGATCTTTCTCCCTAACAGTGTGGTTTCTTTGAGACCCTTCACACACAGTTCAGCACATTGGGAGTTAGCAGCTGCCGGTCACCCATGTGTTCGCAGTGAGCGTGTGCTGACGGGGCATGTGGGCTATTTTAATGTGGGAGGCCTCTGCAGATGCACATTCCAGGTTAAGGAGTCAGCTGTGCCATTAGGAGCTCATGGCAGTGGGTACAACAGAGTGATTGTGCTGAGTTATGTTCACACATGACACATGAGCTTGGGCTGCAGAAGTCTGCTATACCACACCACTAAAACATTGTATGAACATGAGTACAATAAATATATTTGGCATTAATATTTAATACTCTACAAGATTTTGAAGTTATACACAAGGCATGTTAACTGAGGATTTTTTCTTTTCAAAAACAAATTCAAATGGCTTTCAGTATTTATTTCATTAGCACAAACCAAACATATATTTAATCTGTAACATTAAACATCAGTTCCATTTAACATAAATAACAGACCAATTTCTGAACTCTGCTCCAAAACACATGTTTTACAGACACAGGATTGACTGTAGACCTTTTGGTTGAAAAACAAAGCATGTCATTGTGATTTAATAAAACTAGATCTCAGGTTGGATTCAAATTCCATTAATTGCCCAGTCTTTATAGATGTTCATTTAATTGGCTGCAATTAGAATTTGTAACTAGTAGGTCCAATGAAATATACAATATTTTCATATTTCAATGACTGGGAATTCAAATCATTTGATGATGGACAGGCTATGGATATTTTTAAACTAAGCTTAAATCAAACTTCAGTTAATTTTGTTCTTGTTTGAAAAAGAGGCCACTTCAATGTTTTAATGGCATTTTGTGATTTATCACCAAACCAATTATCTCAGCATTCATGTTTACCTTTACCTTTAGACTTCTTCATTATCTTAAGCTACATGTGAATGTCTGTCCCTAGTCACCCTCATCACTGCAGTCACTGAACTGTGTCAGTGACACAGCCAATGAGCCATGTATACAAACTCATCCAGGATTATGCAACATGCTCACTGCATATCACATTCAACTAGTACTGATTTACTGTACGCATGGAGGAAACTACTAGTAAAATACAACCATGTTTGACACTGCTCTGCTGCTACAAAAAATAAAAACATGCTCCGGGAGCTATGCCTAAGAGCAGAGGAACACATGTTAGTAGTAGGAAGTGGAGCAGAGGGATCCTGGTTGAGTGAGGAAGCATGATCCCGCATTGAAGCCAGGCTGTGGGGCTATATTTAGCTTCTGTTGCCATGTGCTCGGAATGTGCATGGAAGAGGGAACACACTCAAACAATGTCTCACATGCACAAATCATTGCTTTTCAGGTCATTACTGCAGACCAGTCTGCATGTACACAACATTTTTCCTAAATCAACAATAATTGCATGCTTTATAGTATTCAAAAAGTACATGCATCACAGCAATAATATACAGGACTGAGTTTGAAAATTTTGTACAGTTTTTATTACAGTTTTTATTAGGGAGGTTTACAGCTCCTGAATATTCCAGAACAGAAATATATTTACCCCTGTATGTAATTTGACAAATCATGAATACCTAAACTTCTGTAGTGTTAATGTTCAGTCATAAAAAATATAAAGAACAATTGTTAAATTAGAATGTGTATCTTGAAGGAACTGTAGCTGTGTCTCCCAGATACGAGATGTTCAAATCAAATATAGCTTTTACTAATAACAACTGTAACGCGTGTGCATGCGTTTGTAAAAATATATGTTTATAGTTAGCATCACATTTTAGACTAGACCGTCTGACCCATGACAAGTTGTGTCTTTTTAACTATTTTACCAACTACCAACTATTGTACTAATTACCAACGCTGTCTAGGTCTTTGTGCTCTAGCCCCATCTAGTGGTAAGTCGTAGTTTAAGCGTTGTAACTAAAGCGACCAGTGACCACCTCAAATTGAAAATGGAGAGACTGACTCTGGAAATTTAAGCTACTGATAACTGCAATACATGATTTTATTATCAATCGTAATGTACTGAGAAACTGTAATAGCAATAGGTGCCAATATTTACAACCCAGACAATCTTTAACCGGCATGGTCAGTCTGTGTGACCTGCCAGGTCAATCAGGCTGACCACACATACTTATAACAACAGCTGTTATATGGCATGTCACCACCAATACCGGTGACAGTTCTGAAGATGGCTTGCAGCTAGCAGCCAAAATATGTCAACAAGATAAATACAACCCAAGAAGTTAAAGTACATAATAAAAAATGTACATCTTTGGTCCAGAATTTGGTCCAGTCATTTGTGAGGAAAAAAAAAAGTCTTATCTGATTTTTCTTTCTATGAATATTATGAGGGACAGGGGCCTATTTGGCCATACAGGACAACCAAGATTAAAGGTGGTCACCCTCTTATTGGTTCTTCCTAGCTCCACTCACTCTCATTTGTTTGAACTGCTGATGTTGAAGCAGGTATATCTGGCTGCATTGTCCATTTGGCACATCTCCACAGGCTGGTTCTCATCCTCTGAAGATGTGCTGATGAACCAACCCTTGCAGTTAACAGACTCAAACTTTGTCAGTGACACTGAAGTGATGGTTTTGTAAAACAGGAAGTGATCCATGTTTTGGCCACCATTGAATTTTTGCAGTTCTGCCTCTGAACATTCCTACAAAACACACACAATGATTGTATTTTACATCTTTACACCACTTTCACATCTATTGTTATGTGATAATGATTGTATACTCACCACCAAATTCAAAACAGCAATCTCACCTTGCATTGAGCATGTTAGGTACAGGTTGCTGTTTTTGATAGATAATATAACTGATTGTTTTGCAGATGAGCATTCAGTGTATCTGGTCATCTGAAATATCACTAGAAATTTAAATACAGAGGTATCAGAAATATAAATACAAATACAAATGCAACGCAATGTAGAGAGATTCATAAAATACAAAATTCCTAGCATGCGCTATAAAAATTAATGTGTAATTCAGTGTGTAAATGTGTAGCAGCAGTATTATTGTGCATTGTTGTGGTCATTCACCTTTCTTTTCATGATTTCCTCCTTTCAGGGTTATAGCGTGGAGTCTTAACATTTCTGAGTTGTGGATGACATCTTTCTGTGCTTCATCACACAGAGTACAAGAATGCCCACTGTTGGCACGCTGAAACTTTCCTTTTTTTCTACGTGATTCCAACATTTCTACTGTTGTGTCTAAGGGAAAGGGTATGTATTTGTAAGTGAGTAGGCTATTGAAATGTATTAAGTAGCATAGTACAAACCTTCTATTAGATTCTCAAGAACTGCATTGCACAGTTGTTGGTCACTCAACTCTTGGCCAAGTCCGGTCAGAGGTTTCTTCATTTTGTTTATGACCACCACCAGGTTGGCCACACGTTGAAAGCTTTTGCGATTGTACGTGATAACAAGATCCATGTCAAAGGGGAAATTCATATCCTGTGTTTTACAAAGTGAGGAAAAGAACTGTGAACAGCTTGCTCTACACGATAACAACCACTGCACATTTTATATCTTTACTTTCTTACATTTCATATTTACAAAACACATTAATGATAACTTTGGAATCATACAATTACCTACCTCTCTGTCATCTTCACTGCAGCTGTAAGAATTTGGTAGCTGTTCAACAGAATCTCTGTAAAATATTATATATATTATATATAATAATAATAATTATTATTATATACCAGTGGTCTCCAACCTTTTCCCTTCGGTGAGCTACTTTTACAAAACTAAAATGCCAGAGAACTACAAATTTTAGGGGTCGCAAGAAATTGAGACAATTATAAGAAAGAGAACAAGTCTTTGGGTGCAGTTAGATGCCTACAAAACATAAACCATTGTCCACTTATGAGTGCACAAAGGTCGAAATTATACATTTATAATGGCAATAGGCATGTAATTAACACCGTTTTTGTTATTCAGCACAATGGTATAATTCCGTAATCCCTTGGCGAGCTACTTGGAAGGGGGTAGAAAGCTACTGGTTGGAGATCCCTGTTATATACTATAATATACTGATAATATCTGTACTCACATGTCCAAAGCTTGAGACAAGTCAAAGTCTTCCATCGCAGTTACTTCAGAAGTTGCGCGTTGCTGGAGCCAGAGTGCGCGCATCTCTCAGAAACGGCACTCTTGATCAGTTTTCGCAATGACGTCCCGTTGGTTGGAAAGTTCCTGCGCATGTGCACATGAACGCTGAAAACCCCAAAAGGGAAATTCAAACCTTTCTCCGTCGGTCCCATTTGTGTTTTGAGGTTGAAATTTCCAGGTTGAAAATCACAACCACAGTGCAGGTAACTTGGGTATTTATCATAACATACTTGCCTAAACTTGTCCTGTCCCCATGATGATGTAAAGTTCAGATATGAGTAAAAATAGGTTAAAGTTATAGGGTTTAGTTTAAGGTTAGGTAAGTAGGCTGTAATTATGCACTGAAAAAAGGTCGCTGGATTTGCTTAAAAAATATGAAACTCGGTTGCGTGCAATAAAATTACATTTAGGCTTTGAAACTTATTCGATCCCCTCTACATGTATTTTTTTTCTGAAAACATAAACGTAACTTTTTCATGTTGATGAAATGTGATCAAATCATGCCGAATACGCACATTTTTGTTACCCTATGAAAATGTGCCAGTTTGCTATGTTATGATCATATAATATGCAGTGTCAAATGTCCTTAAATGATTTTAAAGTAAAATAATTCAAAACAGTCCTTAGTTTTCTACAGTTCTGTCTTAAACAGAATCAAACAAACAGAGATCACAGGTACAGTGACACCCAGTTTGGAGCTGGACAGTGTGAGGACTTATCAGTGAAGAAGCTCTGGTCTCTGCCTGTGGACAAAGGAATAACACATGATTACATTATGATGATCTAGTCTGTGTAGTACACATTTAAATATACTTAAAGCACTTATTACTCTCTAATACAATAATGGACCAACAGAATCACAGTGAACAGTAGAGTTGTACCTGCAGAAACAAAAATCACCATGTGTTGTTTTTTTCCTCAAAACGCAGCAACAGGTAGGGCATCTGGTAAAAGTCCTCCTTCTGCCACATCACCCTGTACAAACACCTCAACATATACTTCCTGTTTCACTAGGAAATATATGTTGAAAAAATATAATTCAGTTACAGTAATTTTAATTGGTTTACTAACTTTGTTCATGTGTGGTCTGTTTTGTTGGTTCTCAAACATCTTCCTTTTTCTGAAAGGTACAGAGATTTTTCTTTCTTTTTAGTGTTTTTATTAACTGATAATCTCACTTTCAGAATGGTGCCAAAAAACAACTAACTAACATCAACTATTAGATTCATTCATATATCATTCAGTCATACCCAGAGCTCTCACCCACCCTGTTTGTAGATGACTCTGGAAGCAGCATATTCAAATCTTAGTACAGCTGTCACACTCTTGTAGGGCAGCGATGCTAACTTTTTTTTATTTTTCATGGAAACAAGCCTTACATTAACCCTAATTTCAAATAAAACACCACAAGCATGTTTTAACAATGACTACATTCTAGGCCAGAGAAGCATATATATTTTCTCAATAGTCTTACCTCCAGATCAGCCCTCAAAATCCTCCTGGATGCAATTTGGAGTGTCCTCTGCCCCTGTAGCTGTCCTGCCCTGCTACATTTGAATTTTCCCTTCAAAAGTTCACCAGAAATTATAACAAAGTCCTGTTTCCTCAGGGTGATGAAAATACGCAGGTCTAACATCGACCATAATTAAACGACCTTCAATCATAAAAAAGTCATGTTGTCAAATTTGTGTTTGCAATTTGAGCAACCCCTCTGAGACCATTTTGGTTAAAGGGAACACATTATGTAAAATGGACTTTTATGAGCTGTTTATCATCACATATCAGCATTCACTCATCATTAGATTCTCCAGTGCGGTGTTTTGATTTATCCTGTATTGTGCTAAATTCAAGGTTTGAGTGTTTAGAAAATATCTATTTTCATCGAACCACTATCTCCGCCCATTTCTCTGTACTTATTTTTAAAAGTCGGACTCATGTATTGTTCATAAATATAACGTACACGTTTTTCAACAATAAAAATGCGTAAATGAAAACTGCTTACTACAACGAAATTACATTTTGTTCAGGCAGAGCCAGTCAGTTTCAGATTCAGGAATTCAGTGAATTCATGAATTTATTTTTCTATTATTAAAGGGCCCATATTATGCTATTTTATGATCTATGTTATAATGTTTACTCACGAAGAACATACCTGGAGTTGTGTTTTGTTTCATTTGTGCATGTTTAACACACAAACTCTGCATATTTTTGCTGTGTTCTCTCACACTGTTGCACCTTGCAATGTCATGTGGTAATATAGGAAGTGCCCAACTGTATTTTAAACTCCATACACCTTCATTAGAATCATTTGGATAATTTTGACTCTGTAACTGACAAACTCTACTGAAGAAAATGTAAAAAGAAGCTGTTAAACTGAAAACTGCTGCTTCATGACATCCCAGGCTGGAACAGAGCATTTGAGCTTTGGAGACATAAACAGACTAATAATGATTACTTAAAAATGAATGATCCAAAACAGAATTCAAGGTATGTATTTTGATGAGGTTGCAACATTTTTACATGGTTAAAATCTCACAAGAGTCAATATAATCTTTAAGCAATTTTAGATCAACAATGAACAAAATGTTATCTTATAATATATGCATGCTAGAGTTTAATATTAAATACCAGAAAAAATGTGTGCCATATGTCTTTTTTAAGGTTAGCATCGGTCTACAGGAAATGAATGTAAGTCAAGGTAATGTTCCTAAGAAGAAGGAAACCCACCTTGTTGTGCACAGATGTGTTCTTTCTGCTTCCTTTTCACCATCATCACAGCGTTGGACAGTGAGATATTAAAATAAAAACATAATAAAAAGATAAATGTTCATATATTTAAATGTTCATAGATTATTCAATATAAATTAATCCAGTTTAGAAGTAGGTAATAAATCAGTTATTTACTTACAAATAAATAGCTTCTCATGAGTAATTTTCTAACACCATGAGCTTTTACTTGTAGCCAAATAGGGCAATAATTAGTGTGAAGTAGCATCACTACTCAAGTAAAAGCTTTGGTTACTCTGTACATTTTAGTAATATGTATGTTACAGGCAAAGTAAAAACTATCAGTACTCTCATTGGCAAAATGAAAACAAAGTGTTTGCAGCCATTGTTAAATCAGCTTGCTCTACCTTATTTTCTATTATGTCTCACCAGTTGTTGCTGCCCATTTTATTTTCTGGTAGATTTATTATTATTATTTCACAGCTTTTTTAGTATGGATTAGATTAGATTCATTTTATCCATGGTATATAACCATTAGATAGTGTCCAAGATACAAATAATTATAACCAAAAAAAACTATTGCCAACCATCAAAATGAAGGCCTTAAAAAGAAAGCCAAAAGAAGCTTTAAATAAATAAAAACAACAATCAACAGTAAAAATTTGCCTGACTTGGCATTCTATACAGTGCCTAACCAAAGTAGGTAATACAAAACTACTTTGCCTAAAACCACCAGGCATTCTATACCGGAGCCTGGATTATCTACCTGTAATACATACCTCTGACTTTACATCTCAAGCAGTGCCTCTAGCACACCAATAGATGGCTCTATTACAATGCACCTAAATAACATCTACAGTACACTTCTTGTTTGTGTATGTATCATGGATCTATTCAAATAGCAGTATCTATGAAGTAGTCTTGCTGCTTGGAAGGGATGAATACATTGCACAACAATAGCCTGCCCAAGTTATAGCATGAGCACGTTACCCTTTCAATGCACAGTTGCAGGTTGCATTGAAAAAATGCCTACTTGAACAGCTATGTAATTAATCACATCATTCAAAAATAAAAATCTATAGAATAATTCAAGGTTTACTCATTCACCCTCCCACCCTCTGTAACTCTCTCCATCAGAGGTCTTTAATATTCACAACACTTACAATCAAAATTCATCTTTAATGTGTGCAAACTTGTTTAGGCAAAAGCACTTCCTCATCAGATGTGCAAACATTCCTGTGCAGGAGAGAGTGAGTGAGGACAAGTCTCCCTTGAAGGTTAGGCACATTACTCAATATATGATTTTAACAGGCTTCAGTGTTTACAAAATATAGAAATCACAATATAGACTTGCTGTAAGAGCAAAACTGATTTATTTCTCTAAGAAATGCAGTTAGTGTTGTCAATGCACCCAAAATTGGCAACTTTAATTCAAACAAATTGTTTGAACCACTTAACAAGTGTCACTTGAACATGAGAAATCTAGAACACACTGTATAAAATTCAGATTAATAAAAGTACAACATAAAACAGAACACTGAACTAGCAGTAATGGTCACATCTCCTCTGTCTCTCATCATGACAATGTATACATTCAGTATTTTTGAAAACCAGCAAAGAAACAGCATACTTTAATAAAATTATTATTATAACAAATTTTTACATCAGACAAATAAAAGAAAATGATAGCTTGTATAAGGCATTAAATAAATCAAAATAGGCAGTAATACATAAGCAAATGTTCTGCCATGCCCAAAAGGCACAGCCAATGACTACAAAAGCTTTTCTTCAAAAAAAAAAAAAAGTTGATAACAAACTTATGTTCTGTAATGGCAATTACTATGTGACAGAAAAATGCTGGTTCCCATCACAAAAGAATAGAAAACTGCATGAAAACATGTACAAGGAGAATATTAAGGGCTATCATGAGCGTTGGTTGGCATGTTTGTTTTTGATTTAAACCAAAATTCAAAGTGACTTTTTATTTATTATTATGATAAATTATTATTTTTTAAATTTTTAATTGTCTATTGTCCAATCATTTTTATGAAATTATTAGTTGGCAAATAATGCATCTACTACCAATAGTGAGTGTATAATGTATATATTTGATAGAAAATGGTAACCTTGACCTCAAACTACCAGTAGCTATACATGTTCACTGATAAAATATATATTTTTGTGCATGGCACGGCTTAATCAGTCAGCTCTGTGAGATGAAAGATATTAAATAGGGACGTACCTTCCAGCTTACACAATGGCACAGTGCACAAAGTTTATGTGCAAATATGCTTACATGACACATGTAGTTTGAGGT